CAGGACTTCCTGAGGGCTTCCCAGATGAATCTCAGCATGGCGGCCTGGGGACGCTTGGTCATGAGCCTGCTGCCCCCATGCAGCTCCCCAAGTACCATCAGCCCCCCCAAAGCGTGCTCCCAGACTCCAGCCACACCCCAGCGGGCCACCGACCCCGACTCGCCCAGGTGAGGAGCCTCGCTCGCCCCAGGCTGCCTGCTTCTCTGCGGTGTCACCTCTCTCCAGACGCAGGTGGTGCCTGCCCCGTGGCTCGCCCTCTGACCTGTCTGTCTGTCTCGCGTGGCTGTGTGTCCACCCCCGCCCTCCCTGCCCGCTGCTCTTCCAATTGTCTGTGCCCAGTATGTGTCTGCTTCTACCCCACAGTAACTTCCCACCCAAGAAAACCCCCTTGCGAGAAGAGATCCAACCCCTACCCAAGCCCCCTCGCCTCTACCTGGCCCAGGAGCCAACCCCTGAAGAGATGCCGGTGAGGGGCAGCAGGGCAGGGTTGGTCACCCTGGGGGCTGCCCAGGTCGGGTGGCAGGGCTGGAGGGAAGGAAGCCCTGCTCTGCCTTGAGACCCTCTCCCCTCGCAGCGCACCAAACGTCCCCACATGGAGCCCAGGATTCGACTCGAGCCGCCTCTGCCAGCCCCGGCTACCAGGTACCCCGGCGGGCTCACCTCGGTGTTTGAGGCTTTTATCCACTCATCTGGGTATTTGCATGTCAGACGTTCACACTTCACCCGGGCTCCTTGGCTCACTCAGGTTCTCACTCGTTGAACCCACATTATTGAGCTCAGCCTGCTTGCCAGACCCCAAGACACTGCAGTCCTGGGAACCCCGCCCGCCTCCCCCGGGCTCCGCAGCCCCATAGAGGGGGGACCACCCAGGATCGAGCACGGGGCGTTTGGGGCGACTCCTGGTGGAGGCCCAGCCCTTCCTTGTGCTGGGGGCTTCCTGTGCCCTTTCTCTTGCAGGAAACCCCCCCGGCTTCAGGACTTCCGCTGCTTGGCCGTGCTGGGCCGGGGCCACTTCGGGAAGGTAGGGGCTGAGGAGGTGCGGCGGAAGGGGGTGGGCAGGCCCCAGCACGTTAGCTAGGGGGCTCTGGACTCTGGGGGGCAGTGGGCAGGGGAAGTAGATTCCTTACTGCCCACCTGTACCCCAAACCTCTCTCTGGTCTTCAGGTCCTCTTGGTCCAATTCAAGGGCACGGGGCAATACTATGCCATCAAGGCGCTGAAGAAGCAGGAGGTGCTGAGCCGGGACGAGATCGAGAGGTGTGTGTGGAGGTCGGGGGGCTCCCAGCACCCTGGCGTCTGGAGGGAACTCAGGATGGCAGGCCTGGGCTGGGCTGGTGGCTCCAGAAGGCAGCTGAATACTTCTGGGGGTTCGAAGAAGTGACCCTGTGGGGGCAGCCAGGTCTGGACTCTCTTATTAGCAACTGCAGTTGTGAACTGTGTGCCCTTGGGCAGGTCTCCTGTCTGGGCACCTCAGGTTCCTCATCTGTGAAATGGGAACAGGGTGGCGGTACAAGTTCAAGACCTGTGCGAGTCCCGGATACATATGAACTGTCACTGTACCTGCCTGGCAGTTTTAAGAGCCAGTAACCCAGGGGAGTTGTGTGGGTGACAAGGCACAGCCAGTGGAGGTCTTCCTTCCCTTTTGGGTTCCCTCCTTGCCTGTGAAACCCATGCCCTCCTCTTGCAGCCTGTACTGTGAGAAGCGAATCCTTGAGGCCGTCGGCTGCACAGGGCATCCGTTCCTGCTTCCCCTCCTCGCCTGCTTCCAGACCTCCAGCCACGCCTGCTTCGTGACTGAGTTTGCGCCCGGCGGTGACCTCATGATGCAGATCCATGAGGACGTCTTTCCTGAGCCCCAGGCCCAGTGGGTCCCCCTCTCGCCTCTTCCAGCCAGCCTTCCCTGGGCCCCCTGTCCCTGGCAGTCCCTTCATCCTGCTTCTTCCATGGTGCCCATCAGCCAAAGAGTGCATACAATCAGTGAGGGCTCGGTTCACATCCTGGTTATCAAACCTTCACAGCCTTTGTGACCTCAGACCTCAGTGTATATGGCGGTGAATTGGGGATAATAACTGCTTCATAGGCTTGGTGCATCGGTGGACATAACATTTAGAAATTGCAGAGCCTAGGGACTGGTGAGCAGTAAGTGACTGACAGATGGCATTGTTATGTCTTGCCCACCAGAGTGTGGACTCTGGAGCCCAGATTCATGTGTCAGCTCTGCCAGTCGCTCTGTGACCCAGGGTGGGTCATTTACCAGGAGTTTCAGATCCTCATTTAAAAAAATAGGCATGATGAGGCTTCTCTGGGTGGTCTAATGCTTAAGAATCCGCCTGCAAGTGCAGGGGACACAGGTTCGATTCCTGGTCCAGGAAGATCTCACATGTCTCGGAGCAACTACTGAGCCCAAGGGCTGCAACTACTGAAGCCCACACACCTCGAGCCCATGAAAACAGTCATCATCACCCCCAGCTCACCGCAATGAGAAACCCATGCACCACAATGAAGAGTAGCTCCTGCTCACCGCAACTAGAGAAAGCCCATGCACAGCACTGAAGACCCAGTGCAGAAAAAAAATATAATAGTAACATTTTTTAAAAATTAAAAAAACAATAGGCATGATGGTACCAACGGAGGCTGCCAGGAGGATGCCAGGATGGGCATGTGGTCATTCCTGGCATAATCTAAGGGCCCGGGAACGGTAGGCTGTTATCAGGAGGAGCCCTGCCCCTGACTCTGGCAGGGACATTGGGGGTTCCCAGGCCATGGCCATCCTGGTGCCTCCCTGCCCTGTCCCCCACAGTCCTGGGCCTGAACTCCCCCTGCACCAACCCTCCAGGTTCTATCTGGCCTGTGTGGTCCTGGGGCTGCAGTTCTTACACGAGCAGAAGATCATTTACAGGTAACTTGCCCCCGGGATGCTGGAGGAGTAGGCAAGGGGGTCAGGGGCTGCCCTCCTCCTGGGCTGCTATGAGGCGGGGCCGCTGTTCCCTGGGCCTCAACACGTCTCAGCTTCTTTGGGGTCTGCCCTGCCTTGCCCTCAGAGACCTTAAGTTGGATAATCTTCTCCTGGACGCCCAGGGTTTCCTGAAGATCGCGGACTTTGGGCTTTGTAAGGAAGGTGGGTGCCTCCCATCCAGGAGCCTGTGTCCTCCTGCCTTGCTCGTTCTGTCGAGGCCAGCAGGGTGGCGAGCAAGTGGCATCTTCCAGGAAGTGTCCCTCCCAGCCCTCCTTCCAGGGACCAGCTAGACGCATTGGTTCGTCCTTCCTCGCCTTAAAAACTCAGAAAGACTCCCTTGCCCTCGGCCGGAGGGAGAGCCTGGCCTGGGAGAGGGTGCTGGGTTCTGCTTTCTGCATGACCCTGGCACACAGGCTTCACTGAGACTCACATTCCTCATCCGTCAGGTGGCATGAAAACCATTCCCACCTCCAAGGGTGTGGGGCAGGGCTCTGCGCGGGTTCCTTGCATGGAGTCCTAAGGGTTGGTGGTTGATTCTTACAATCAGAGGTTCTTGTGGCTGCCACAGCACGCTGGCATCAGTGTGGATGTTGGTTGGCAGGGATTGGCTTTGGGGACCGGACGAGCACCTTCTGCGGCACCCCGGAGTTCTTGGCCCCCGAGGTGCTGACTCAGGAGGCCTACACGCGGGCTGTGGACTGGTGGGGGCTGGGCGTGCTGCTCTATGAGATGCTGGTGGGCGAGGTGAGTGCTGGATGGGGAGAGTTGCTGGGGTCCCCAGGTTGGGTGGAGGTTGGGTGGGGGGGGGTGTCCCTGCTGAGCCCCCTCCCCGCAGTGCCCGTTTCCAGGGGACACCGAGGAGGAGGTGTTTGACTGCATCGTCAATGCAGAAGCCCCATACCCCCGCTTTCTGTCAGTGCAAGGCCTCGAGCTTATTCAGAAGGTAATTGCTGCAGGGTCCTGGGCTGGGCCAGAGGGCTACTTGTGGCTCTCCAGGCTCCCTACCCGAGAGGCTGGGGGCAGCAGGGCAGTGTCTGGGGCTGAGCGCCCTGAATGAGCCCTGTCCTCGCCCCCAGCTTCTCCAGAAATGCCCCGAGAAGCGCCTGGGGGCGGGCGAGCGAGATGCTGAGGAAATCAAGACCCAGCCTTTCTTCAGGGTGAGCGGCCGTGGCCACAGCGGTCCTGGTGCCTGGCGCAGAGGGAAGGGTCGAGGGCCCACGGGGGCTGCTGTTCCCATCATCTGATGTACGCCTTTGCCCCCAGACCACCGACTGGCAGGCTCTGCTCGCCCGCGCCGTCCAGCCCCCATTTGTGCCCACCCTCTGTGGCCCCACAGACCTGCGCTACTTCGAGGGCGAGTTCACGGGGCTGCCGCCCGCCCTGACCCCACCCGACCCCCGCAGCCCCCTCACCGCCCGCCAGCAGGCTGCCTTCCGGGACTTCGACTTTGTGTCTGAGAGATTCCTGGAGCCCTGAGGGCCTCCCGGCCTCTCCACCCCCTGCCCGCTCCCCAACGCCGGACGGTTAGAGTCTCTGCTTTGCCCGCCTGGGCACGCAGGGATTGATGGGCCTTTGGGGCTGGAGGTGGTAGCCATGGGGCTGTCATGGGCACTGCTCAGTCACCGGGCGAGTGCTGCCCGCCCCCTTCCCCCGACCTTCTCTCCCCTGCCCGCTGCAAGACCTAGACCAGAAAGCGTGGCGCAGCGAGGAATGGTTTGGTTTTTTTTAATACTTGACTTGCTTTATGGTTCATTAAATTTATAAAACTGTGTGCTGGACGCAGCCTGGCTTGGGGGTGGGGCCGAGGTGTCCGAAGCCCAGGTCTCTCCTTGTGCCTGAGCCTCCCCCACGGGTCCTCGTCCTTTTCTTCTGCCTGGGGAGGGCGGAGCTGCCCACCAAGGCAGGGCACAGCCCCTCAGCTCCACTCTGAGGCCCGGAAGGAGTGGGCAGGAGTGAGGAGCCCCAGGCCCTTGGAGGGCCGACCCCTCTGGGTGCGGCCTCTCTGGTTTTCAGGCACAAGATGGTGGCCCCGGCTTCCAGTGACCCTAAACAGCTTGGCTACTGCCTTCCTCCTCCTCGTCCTCGGCCCAGAGGGTCTCCCAGGAGCCCGGGGGCCATCCACAGAAGAAGTGGGCCAGGTTGCGGGTCAGGCCGCGGTCGAAGGGGTTTCCGGGGCGCTGGCGGAGGTAGGCGATGCGGTGGGAGGAGATGAACTCCCAGGTGGTGGTGTTGCTGGCCACCAGGTAGAGGTGCGAGGCCAGGAGCAGGCCAGCCACCAGGGAGAAGAGCGACAGCAGCAGGAAGGTGGCGAACAGGAGCCCGCTGGACCGCAGCCAGAGCCCCCAGGGCTGGAAGAAGCGGAGGCCGGACCTGCAAGGGAAGGCGAGTGACAAGGACCCAGGGCTGGCGGCGGGGTCGCCTGAGGGGACGGCCATTTGGGAGATGGTCCAAGGCCCCTGAAGAGGGAGCCTGGGGGTGCTGGTCCTCCCCCACACCCAGGGCAACTCACCATGCCAGGTACAGGGCCCACAGAAGCACCACCAGCTGCAGCGCCAGATAGGCCACGAAGAGTGGGTGGTTGCGCTCGCCCACACAGTTCTCCATCCAGGGGCAGTGGTGGTCGTAGCGGCGGACACAGCGACGGCACTCACGGCAGTGCCGAGCCCGCAGGGGTTGCTGTGGGCACAGAGGGAGTTGGGCCTCAACACCGGCTCCCCTCTAGGCCCAGCAATGAGGGTGGGAGGTCAGGGCTGGCATCTGGGAGGCCTTCCTGGAGGAAGGGGGTGAGGCCAAGAAGTCTTGGCCTTGCCTGAGTCCGCCCATGGTGGTCCCCACATCACCCACCAGCACCATGCAGTATCCGCAGCGCCGAAGGGGGATGGCCTGAGGAACCATGGCTGTCTGCTCTTCCTTGGCCTCCTCCTGAAAAAGGGGGGGACAGAGGATGAGATGGGGGTCCCTTGGGAGGCAGCTGAGACTTGTGTGTGTCTCCCTTGGGGGCCAGCTTAGCTCTGGGTGTGCACATTTGGGGGCCCATCCATGCGTCATGGAGGTGGCAGAGTGGGGCAGGGTGCCCTGGACTGCGCGGTTGTGTGACTTTGGCCAGTTACTTCCCCTCTCTGGACCTTGGCCATTTTCTCGTTGTAGGACGGGGCCCTAGGTCTGACAAGATGATTCCTTGGGATTCCCTAGGAAAGCTCTCAGCTGAGTCTAGCATGAGGCTCACTGGAATCTTGAGTTCCCTGGTGGAGGGAGGAGGGGTTTGGGCCCCCTAGTTACCTGGGGCTGAGGCAGGACATTCACGTAGCCCGGGTCCATGAGTGACACGGTCAGGTAAAGCAGCAGGGAGCCCAGCACGAGCAGCAGGAAGGTGAGGGGCAGGAGCAGGTCCCCCTGCTCTTCCCACTGCCGCAGTGCTGAAGAGGACAGAGAGGGAGAGTGAGGCCAGGACCGTGGGACGGCCGTGGCGGGGGAGGGTGCAGCTGGAGGCGGGGCGTGTGTCCCTGGATGAACAAAGGCCTGGAAGTGGGGTTGAATGAATGGTGTGGAACTACACAGGGTACAGCAGGGAGAAGTTCAGGCTTGGGAGAAGAGAAAAAAAGCAGTTAATCTACACTATCTCTGGAGGGCAGTAGGGAACCATGGAAGGTTACAGGGTCAGATATATTTCTGAATGGCTTCCCAGGTGGCACTAACAATAAAGAACCCTCCTGCCAATGCAGGAGACATAAGAGATGCAGGTTCCATCCCTGGTTTGGGAAGATCCCCTGGAGGAGGGAATGGCAATCCACTCCAGTATTCTTGCCTGGAGAATCCCATGAACAGAGGAGCCTGGTGGGTTACAGCCCATAGGGTTGCACAGATATGACTGAAGCGACTTGACATGCATGTTTCTGAAAGCCCTCTTAAAAAAAAAAAGAAAGCCCTCTTAGTGCTAAGGTAAAGATGGATCAGAGGGGAGGCCTATCCAGGACACAGAGAGGAGTGTGTCTGGGCAAGGGTAATGGCAGGGGGGTTGACCAGATTGGAGGTAAGGGGTGATGGGACCAGACTTGGCTGGTTATGGGGGACAGGGAGGAGGACTCTGGCTCTGAGATGGAAAGAGGCTGGCCAGGTAAGAGATGCACAAGAAACAGAGATAGAGAAGGGTGTGGCTGTCAGGTTGGAATGCTGTAGGGGAGCCCAGGCCACTGCCCGGGTCCAGCCCATGGAGGTGACTGAAGGTTTGGGGGAAGCGGGTGGAGGGCTGAGCAGGGAGAGGCAGGAGACAGCCAGCAAGACATCAGAGTGTGGACAACTCAGGTGCCCCTTGACTGTAAAAGGGAGTGGAGAAGAAAAGGAGGTTGCAGCGGGGGATTTCTTTCCAATGCAGAGACTGAGCAGGTTTTTAGGCTAAGGGGTGAAGCCAGTGGAGGAGACTCAAGTCTTGGGAGGAAAGTGAGAATGCCCCTGGTCCAGAAGCTTAGGCTGCAGCGAGGAGGAAGGGGTGGGGGTTGTGGTGGTGGTGGTGAGGAAGGGGGAAAGCCTGTGTTGGAGGTGGCCTGTGGCAGGTAAAGAAGGGGAAGGATGGAAGTGGGAGGGTGGAATGAATGAGCGCTCATGGGGATGAGAACAGGAGGGACAGGCTGCTCCCCTCTGCCGTGTCCTCTTGCCTGAAGGTGGGGAGCCCGGACTTGGGGCAGCTAGGGCCACGCAGGGATGGGGTGGGCGGGATGCCAGCCCTTCATCTAGTTGATCCTCGGAATCTTGGGAGTCAATTCCTGGGAAGGGTCGGGCGGGTCCCAGGATCAGGGAAGATAGGGTCTCGAGCGGGTCGTCGGATCAGGTGGGCACCGGGTGGGTCCTGGGACAGACAAGGGTATCTGGCAGGGATCAGGAAGATTCTGGGATTAATTAGGGATCAACTGGGTATTAGGCGGAAAGCAGGTGGCTCTTGGAATGAGAGGTGGGGAGGGTGCCTCTGGCGCGGGAAGAGTCCGGGGGAAATCCCAGGATCTCCGGGGGGTTCGACAAGGGACTCAGTGAGACCCAAACATCTGGGGAATCACGCGGGATCGGGTGGGTCCGGGGTCGCGAGGGTTCCGGCTCACCGGTATCATGCAGGAAGAGTACCAACGTGATCCCCCAGGTCAGCACAGTATGCCCGGTCCGCACCAGGACCCCAGGGGTGAAAAGCGCCCAGGGCGCCATCGCCTCGGCCCCGGGCCCCACCCGGAAGAAGCGCTCAGAGGGGCGGGCCCTCCGAGGAACAGGGCCCGCGGCCGCCCGGGGATTGGCGGATCCGGGATGTGGGCGTGGCCGGATTGGGCCAGGGAGGCCGCCTATTGGGCGACAGCTGCGGTTTAGTAGGCCCTCGAGCCAACAGGTGCCTGAAGAAGCTGAGGGCGGGGCCGGCGCGCGCGCAGCCGGTAACTCCCCCAGCTCCACCCCCCCACTCCCCCAACCCCAGCATCCAGGTAACTTTCAAAAACCGACCTCCCGTCGCGAGTCCCGCTCCAGTCCCGCTGAAGTTCCACCACCCGCCCCTAGGCCACAGACTCAGGCATGCGTCCAGGAAGATCCAGGTGTTGTGACTCAAGGTGGCAGAATTGCTCCCGGTTCGGAGATGAGATGCTCGAAGCCTCAAGAGAGGCAGGACTAAACCAAAGTGACTTCAGGGTAATAACATTACCATTTTCAGATTTTGCAGACGGGATGAGACCAGAGTGGAAGTACGTGGTAGCAGATCTGACTATGAGAGGCCTGACTGGGTCAGAGCCGGAAATCCCAGCACTGCCCCTTCCTACCTGTGTGCGCTTGGGCAAGTTACAAAACCACGCGGAGTTCTGTTTCTGTCTGTATGATGGAGATGATAATAGTACCCCTCCTCAGGTGGTTGGAGGACTAAATATTGGAAATAGTGCCTAGTACAGGACTGACTTGTCGCCTCAGCTCTAAACCAGCACCTACACCCAATGACTTGCCCAACCTAGGGTTTCAGGCTAATCTACCATAAAGCCTAGTCATTCACTGCTTAAATTCCTTTACTGTGTTCCTAGGGCCTTCCCCATCCAGCCCTGCCTTTCCTCCTTTTTCTCCCACGGATACCAACATCCACCTTCCTCCATCAGATTAGTGCCCTACTGACTCCGCAGTATACTCTTAAGACATTTGTTGTTTTTGTCAGCTCAGCATCCCCTTTTCTGTTGGAGAACTGACTCCATCCTGTGTGGATCTGGAAGAACTATGTCCCTCACTTTATAGGGTGGTGGGAGAGAGACTGTGGGCATGTGACTAGAAGGCAAACATGGTCCTCATCTCATTATTCCCAGTGATTGGATCTAAGTGGTGGGCATGTGACTTGGCAGGGTCAATTAGAATAATTCCATGAGAGTATGCTATAGATGCTGAGAGAGAAAGGGGTATTCTTTTGGATCTCAAGCATGAGGGATAGGATATAATGGCAATTGGCAGCCGGTTTTATGCTATGTGGTGAGAGACTCTGGCAGAAGAGGAGGCCAACTATAAAGAGATGTAGAGATAACCAGCACTGAAATAGGGAGTGAGAAAGTCTTTTTTTAAAAGATATGTATTTATTTGGGTGTGCCGGGTCTTAGTTGTGGCATGCAGGATCTTTAGTTGCAGCCTGAGACATTTTTAGTTGCAACATGTGAACTCTTAGTTGCAGCATGTGGAGTCTAGTTCCCTGACCCCATGTGGGATCTTCTCGGACCAGGGGTCAAACCAATATCCCCTGCATTGGCAGGGGATTGAGCTCAGGCCCCCTTCACTGGTAGTGCAGAATCTTAGCCACTCGACCACCAGGGAAGTCTGGAGAGATGGTCTTAAAAACATGATCTGAGCCCCTAGATCCAACTGTTACTAAGGCTGATCTTAACACTAGATTCCCAGTTGCATTAATGAATGAAATTCCTCCTACAGATACACTACTTAGGTAAGTGTTTGAGTGTCTGTCACTTGTAGCTCTGTCTTAATTACTGCAATGGTTGCATGGCTTAGTGTGCCAAGTGGGGACATCTACTAATTGTGGGACTTCCCTGGTGGCTCAGTGCTAAAGAATCTGCCTGCCAATGCAGGGGGACACTGGTTTGATCCCTGGTCCAAGAAAATCCCACATGCCTTGAAGCAGCTGAGCCCGTGAGACATAACTACTGAGCCTGTGCTCTAGAGCCTGAGACCCACAACTACTGAGCCCACATGTTGCAATTACTGAAGCCTGCATGCCACAGAGCCATGCTCCAAAGTGAAAAGCCTGCACATGGCAACAAAGAGTAGCCCCCACTCACCGCAGTGAGAAAGAGGAAACCCATGCACAGCAATGAAGACCCAGCACAAACAAAAATAATTTTATTTATTTTTTATTTATTTATTTTAATAAATTTTAAAAAAGAAAGAATCCTGAGGATTCCACGAGTCAGCCGCTGTGCTAGTGTCAAAGATTAAAATAAAGTTGGACATTAGTTAAAGTTGTAAGGACATATTTTACTCAGTAATATACTATTGTGGTAGGGAACAGGATCCAAAAAGAACTGAATGTAACTTTGATTTGTACAGAGGTGATTGGGTATTTTAAAGGGAGAATGAGGGAGTAGAGATGGGGAAGGGCAGGGGCTTGGTGAGACTCAGGGAAGTGAAGACTTGCAAAGAGCGGGTTAGGGTAAATGCTCATTAAGCCAACTGTGTCTGCTAGCTGGCAGCAAATAAGGTTAGGCTGCTGTCCTCCCTCGGAGACTGGGAGACAGAGGCCTGATCCTTCCTGATGGTTACATTTTACCGGGATGGCTTCCAGGTCCTTGAGAAAGATGCTGCTGAGTTATAGGAGGTACAGATACACCTGAGAGGGACAGAGAAAGCATTCACAACTTTAAGTTGTTTTCAGTAAATGCTCTAAGAAAGGCTATTCAGGTGTTAAACAGCAAATTCTTTTTTTTTTAATTTAATTTTATTTTTTTAATATTTGGCTATGCTGGGTCTTGGTTGCTGCATGGACTTTTCTCTAGTTGTGGTAAGCAGAGGCTATTCTCTCTAGCTGCGGTGGCTTCTCTTGTTGCAGAGCACAGGCTCTGGAGTGTGGACTTCGGTAATTGCAGCACCTGGGCCCAATAGCCGCGGCTCCTGGGCCCTAAAGCACAGGCTCAGTAGTTGTGTGGGCTTAGTTGCTCCGTGGCACATGGGATCTTCCTGGATCAGGGATCGATCCTGTGTCTTCTGCATTGGCGACGGGTGGATTCTTTACCACTGAATCACAGGAGAAGACCCAAACAGTAAATTCTTTTGGCAGCCTGGAGGTTTCTCGGGCAGGCACTTTAAGTGGGGGTGTCAGGTAGAGTCATCTTCCAAGTGTGACCCAGGGCTCTTAGAAACGGTAGGAGTGAAGTCAGAGGAGGGAGTGGATGAAATCCCTGGAGCTGAAGACTTTGTAGTTTTCATAGGCCGAGCCTGAGGCCTGGTGGAGAAGAGGGCATGGAGCTGGCTCCAGTCTGGTCTAGCAGAGAATCTCTCACTGGGTGCTGGCACATGTGGGAACAGGTCCACCTGATCTGGGACCAGCACCTGGACTGTTCTTGGGGAAGAGCTCTCCACCATTGGGTGTGGCCTCAGTACTACCTCGGGGGCATGGAGAGCACTGCTGAGAGTTACCCTGGGACAAACAGCTGGTATAAACACGGACTCTACTGGGTAAAGCCCAGTCGCCTCACGATCTGGCCCGGCGCCCCTGATCCTTCCCTCTGCGGCAGCCACGGGGGCCGCTTCACGGTTCTCCCCGAAAGGCCCTTCTCCTGGCAGAGGCCTCTGTCTAGGACCCCCCTTTCCCTGGCCGCCTACAGCCAGGCCTGGCAGCCTTGTCTTCTCGCTGGATTCAGCTCGAAGGTCTCCCTCGTGAGAAGCCTCCCCTGCCCGCACCAGGACACTGTCCTTGCCTGCAGTCCTGCTGGCCCGCCCGAGGGGCCTGCTCTGTGTGTTCCCTTCTCCCCGCTCCTCACACACTGTCATCATCTCGTATGTAACATTTGTCTCTACCATCAGACAGCTGCAGGCAGGGACCCTGTTGGTCTGTGGCCAGCCAGATCCTCAGTGTCTGGGCACAGGGGTGTGGAGAGACTGCAGAGGAAAAGCAGGTGTTCCAGTCCCATCTGCCACTGCCGAAGAATGGATGCTTTTGAACTGCAGTTGGGAGGACTCTTGAGAGCCCCTCAGACTGCAAGGAGATCCAACCAGTCCATCCTAAAGGAAATCGGTCCTGAATATTCACTGGAAGGACTAATGCTGAAGCTGAAGCTCCAATACTTTGGCTGCCTCATGCAAAGAACTGACTCATTGGAAAAGACCCTGATGCTGGGAAAGATTGAAGGTGGGAGGAGAAGGGCATGACAGAGGATGAGATGGTTGGATGACATCACCAACTAAACGGACATGAGTTTGAGTAAACTCCGGGTGTTGGTGATGGACAGGGAGGCTTGGCATGCTGTGGTCCACGGGGTTGCAAAGAGTCGGACATGACTGAGTAACTCAACTGACAAACTGCCACCTCTCCCCTTGGGCCGGGCCCACAGACTGACCCAGTGCACCCTCCCGTCACTGCTCTTGCACTCCAGGCACACCACCCAAGCCAGCCCAGGCCCCCTCTCCATGGCCCCATCCCTTCCACAAAAAAAAAGACACTCTGCTCTTTTCCACTTTGCACAAAAATGTATTTCTGTGACATCCCAAAGTACAGACATTTACCTGGGCCCCGGCTGGTAAAGCGATGAGATGTGAGCTCTGCCTGGGGTCTGGCACAGGCCACGTGAGCATGGAAGGGGGGGCAGATGGGGCCCGTGTGCTGAGCAGAGGGGCCACAGGGCAGCTGGCCTTTCCCAGGGCTGGGGTGTGGGGAGAAGACCCCAGGGGAAGAAGGCCGGGTGCCTCTCCCCTGGGCTGCTCATCCTGCCTGTTCTGTCTGGAGGCAGGAATGCCAGGAGAATCGGAAGCACAGGCCCAGCGAAGGAGGGACGAGAAGCCACCCTCTAAAGGCCGCCTGCAGTCAGCTCTGCTTCCCAGCCCCTTGTTCCAGACGGGGCCTCCTCCCTGCTGTTGGTGCCGTGAGAAGCAACTCGAAGTGACGTTAAGGGAGGACCACAAGGTATTTTTGAGATACATCTGTGTGTCTCACACACTTCTCTGAAACCCAGCGAGGAGGTTTCCAAGGGGAAGCCTGGGGGCAAGGCGGGAGGGGGAGGATGCTGGTCTGGAGGTGTCTGCCTGTGGCCGCCAGGGAAAGCTGGCGTGGGGATCCCCCCCTGCCCGCGGAAGAGGTGTGGGCTCCTCTGGGCCATGGGGCAGGCAGGGGTAGGTGAGGCAGGCTCAGTTCTGCTGGTGGGGTGCCTGGGCACCGTGGGGGCTGCAGGCTGATGAGGGGTGGGGGAGTGAGAGAACCACCCTGGCCCTGGGAGGTGTTGGCTTCCAGGGTGGGAAGCAGGTGGTGGGATGCGCAGGTTCCGGTTATGTTTGGCAGAAGGGGCAGCGGAGGCTGCCCGGGTTCTGACCAGCCCTGGGCTGGGGCCTTCCACAGCCTGGGGCCTGGTGGGAGACTAGGACGCAGCCTCCATAGCAGCGTGGCCTCAGGCAGGCCTGTCCAGAGGGCAGCAGAGCCACTGGGCGCCTTGAGGGCCCTCTGGGGCTGGGACTGCCTGGACCGAGGCAGGTACGGCTCACTTCCTCACCCCAGAGGCCCACAGCCGGGAGCACCAAGGCATTAGGAAAACCCAGTGGGGTTAGTTTTTAATCCCCAAACCCCATCAGCTGCACCGAGGAACCTAGATGGCATTCTCGGGCTTCAGTGGGTGGGTTAGGAGGCTGGAGTGGGCTCTTGGGGGCCCCACTGCCTCTCCGAACAGGAAGCGAGGCCAGCGTCGGAGATTACAGGGCATGGGCCGGACACTCACACTGTTAGAGGCCTTTAGTCTGGCAGGGGTGGGAGTGAGTGTGGCAGCGATGAAAGCTTTGAAAGTAGGGGCTTGAGGATGGCCACGGAAGCTGCAAGGACTCAGGGGGTTATTTCTTTTGTTTTTGTACAGAAATCATACACACAAAACTTCACACTTCCTAACCAAAAAAAAATAATATATATATATATATATATATAATATATATATCTCACTAATGTTAAGGAAAAGCGTCGGTTGTGCAAAAGTTCCCCTGTGTCCCTTCGTCCAGTGGGAGGCTCCCCGGGGCGTGGGGATCTGCCAGCTGGGCTGCTTGAGCGTGCTTCCTCCCGGCCTCGTGGTCCAGAGCAGTGGTGGGCCGTGGAGGCAGAGACCTTATCTGGACGTGTCCATGTTCTCCTCTTTAAAGTTACTGCAGTGCTCAATAACCTTGCTGGAGACAATGGGGGAAAGAAGATTGGAGGGTGGGCTTTCACCGGGGTGGGCTCAGCCCCTCCCAGCTAATCAGGCTGCTGGATTTGTTGGCAAATGTTAACCATCATGCTGACCCTGAACGAGATGATGTGTGCCAAGTGGCTGGCAGAGTGGCCGGCGTGTGCAGGGTACCCAGGAAATGGTACTTGTGGCCATGAATACCTTTAGCCCCCTGTCCTCCCCAGGCCTCCCCTTCCCATGTCTCAGCACCGGGGCATCTGTGGTTAGGGGCTTCCCTGAATCAGCTCAGGCCTGACCCCCAAAACCTTCTGATCTTTTTCAGTAACATCATCCTTCACTTTTTCTTTGTCCACCCAGGGCTTTTTCTTCCCCTGAGTATACTGGTGGTCCCCAAACTCATCGCACATGAGGTTCCCCCAGAGATCCTTACCCAGCAGGATCTGGGCAGGTCTGGGTAGGGCGGCTGTGCCTGCCCACAGACAGGGGCTCCACACCCTGAGGGGCAGATCCCAGCTCATCCTCAGTGGACAGTCTCTCCCACTCTCTCTGGCCCTTGGGAACTGCTGTCAGGTGTCATCCTGAACCCTGGACAGCATTCCCATTCACACCAAGCCTCTGGGCTGGTGATGGGAGTGGTGTTCACTGCAGCCTCTTTGTGCCAAAGAGGCGCACACTGCCTTTTAGGAGTTAAGGGACGCCTGGGTGGGACAGGACTTGTGGACTTCTCCTAAGCACCCTGCCCTCAGGCTGGCCAGCTCAGGTACACAGCTAGGTCCTACAGAGATTTCAAAGTGATTGGGGTAGGTTATGGGTCAGTCTTAGCCAGTGCTTCTCAAGTCTCCTGGAAGCTCTGTTGACAATGCATATTCCCAGGCCCACTGCCCAGACCCATTGGAAAAGAAAATCTAGGGTAGGGCCTGTACATTTTTAACAATCTTTTTAGGTGGTCCTTTGGGGAGATTAAGTTGGAGAACCACTCATTTTACCATTCTCAAACTCAGACAAATCTGTCAATTAAATGTTTAAAGTAGTGCGTTTTGCCAAAAATAACTGCAGAAACAGCCAGTGGGTCCTTCTCTGGGGAGACTCTGAACTCCAAGGGCCCCTCCACCCCACCCCACCCCACCCCACCCCACCAGGACACTTTCTATTCTACACTGTCTTAGAACCCGTCCCCTTCTAGAAACGGATCCTGGAGGAAGCACGGTCGCTGCTGATGATCGCGACACGCAGCGCCCCTAAAGGTCTTTCTTGTGCACTGACGGGTGTGAGATTCCGGGAGATGATATTTTAGATCCGGAAGTGAAAACCACAGAGCAGCGGAAGGCCTGTGTCCAGGACCTTCACGTTCAGAAACTCATGCATTCTGCCCAATCTTAGAATGTATTTTACCACACTGTGTCCTTTCTTTAGTTGGAGTGTCTTTGGCCAAAAATAAGGACAAATTCTGTTCTGACTTGTTAATGCCCAGGGATGAGAGGATGGGATTTGCTGGGAATAAAGTAAAACAAAACTTACAAATGAGGGCAAGGATGCTCTGCTCAGAGCTGGACCGTCTAGTTCCTGACCACGCAGTGGCCATCACGACACTCAGGGAGGCCCCAGCTGGACATCAGTATGCTGTCCGCCTCCACTCTCAGCTCTGGGTTGCCCGTGGGAACGTCAGCCATTCCCAACCACGAGAGGGCCCGGTTGTGTGTCCTTGGCTCCCCCAGTCTAGGCTCCAGGCAGAAACACTGCCAGTCGCTCACCGGGCCATTTCCTTGGTCTCCTGCCGCGCGGTCACCATCTTGATCATGTCCCTCAGGAGGGGCATCCCGCCTTCTTTGATCAGCAGAGGGCAGTACTTGTCCGCTGTGGGCAGGTAAGGGTAGACAGCACGTGACCAGGGCGGGACTTCTATCAGCCTGTGGCCCCGAAACCCTCCCCTGCTCTGAGGACGGCCCTCCCAGAAGGGGGGATGAAGACCTGGGCCTGAGTGAGGGCAAGGCTGCAGGAGCCATGTTGGCCCAGCCCCAAGGCCAAGTTCCTGAGGCCACCTGGGGGAAGTGAGGGGTGAACCCCTTGGGAAAGGCTCTTCCCTTTGCTACATGGTGGCATTTCCCCCAAATGTCACCCAGTCCAGCCCCTTCTATTCTCTGAGAAGTGTTTGTAAAAACAAAAGCTTCCTAAGCACTGCCCCTAGGGTGTCTTGATTCAACAGACCCAGGAACCTGTATTTATTTGTACTCTTTTTTTTTTTTAATTTGTACTTTTAACAAAGTATCTCCAGGTGATTCTGGGACCCACCAGGAGGAAACCACCAGGCCTGCCCACTGCGGGGCTTCATGGTTCACGCCCACAAAAAACATTCTAGGGCTCGGGATCCAGGGCTATATAGACACTCCAGAGAGGACACGGGCATTTCAGTGGCCTTCTAGCAGCTGCACAGTATAGTACAGCATACTGGAGCTATTATCATCTCCATTTAATGATGAAAGAGCTGAGGTGCAGAGAAATGAAGTAACCCACTCGAAGCCACTCGAGGGCCCTGTCAGAGAGTCCTGGCTCAGAGCTCTCCCCAGCTGTTACGCTGTCTCTCTGAGGTAAGGTGCTACTTTTTAGTAAGACTAACCTCAAGGAACAAAAAAAATTGGCTGAGCTGGTATGTGCCAAGTGCTCTTCTCGGCACTCTACATGTCTTATTTCACAGCAATCCTATGAGATAAGTACTATTAGCAGCCCATTTTAAATATGAGGAAAATGAGGCCCAGAGAGGTTGAGAAACCTGCTCAAAGTAGTACAGTCAGTCTTCCCCCAGGGCCTGCCCTCTTTTTTTTTCTGGTTTGTTTATAAATGTTTATTAAAATGGAAAGCTGTTTGCTCAGTCTCCCCCACGAGCATCCATCTAGCTGCCTGTCACCTGGTAAGGTACATGACTGCTGCTGTCATAAATGCTTTTGGAATCTTCAGAATAACAACATATCTGCCTTTGCTTAAAAAAAAGTCCTTGTTCCATGCCTTGCAAACCAACCCTCCTCTTTACACCTTTATATAAAAGGTCTCCAAAATGTTCACCCCAAGCAAGATGTCCATGGATAAACACATATACGCAGGAGCAAAACAAGTTGGTCTGGACACATCAAAGTCTCAAGTCCACACCCTTCAACTTCCACCTAATTCTGCAGAGGGCCTGCGTCCTCATCCCCTCTGCCTAACAGAGCAGGATCCAGGCACCAGGGCTCAACACTTTCCACTGGTTCTCTTTTCCCACCAACCTTATGAAGTAGGCATCATCACCCCCATTTTACAGAGGAGAAAATCAAGCCCCAGAGAGGTTAAACTACCTGCCTAAGATCACAGAGCTAGCAAAGCAGAGAACTAGGGGGCGAGCCTGGTCTGCGTCAGAGCCTCTTAGTGCTGCACCCTCCTCCTCTCCCCAAAGGGCACTGCGCAGACTCAGCTCAGGCTCTTCTCAGGGATGGTGGGACTCTCTCGGAGAAAATAAGTGAGAGTTGTTTTCAAGTTCTCTCCTGTCCTCTTGGATGTCTGGTTCCTCAGGGGTTAGTTCTGGTTTGGGCTGGTCTTACCCTGCCTTACAGAAGGCATAGAGATTTTTATTTCTCATTTTTTTGGTTGCGTGGTACAGCAGGCAGAATCTCAGTTTCCCGACCAGGGATCGAACTCCTGCCCCCTGCAGTGGAAGCACAGAGTCTTAACCACTGGACTGCCAGGGAAGTCATAGCATGGAGATATCAGACTATTCACTCATCTGAAGCAGGAAATATTAAGAAAGCTGCGTGTGTGGGGTCTCTGGATGGGCCGGCTCATCTGCCAGGCCTACTTCTGCCGATGAGGCAGGAGCTAGCCATGCTGCTGAGTGTCCCACTGATGCCAGAAAGCAGAGGGGGTGGGGGTGCAGACACCGACACCAGCTCTCACAGCGCTCCCACCCGGATCAACACCGATGAGGGAACAAGGGGCGAGTGGGTACTCACGGTAGACAGACACCAGGTTGTAGAGGGCCCAGGTGGCCCAGTGCTGGCTGACAGGTGAGATGCCCTGGGGAAGGAGGCGAAGAATTGGCTCAAATGACCTGCAGGAAGAAAAAACCAAGGTTATTTTTGATGCTGGGCATTGGTGGGGTGCACTGGGGGTTCCTCCTCTTTGAAGGGTCTCCTGGACCAACGATCAGCAGGATGGAGGGGACACGGTGGGGGCTGGACATATGGTCCTTCAACCCGCTTCAGGCTTCACAGAGACAGCTCCCTTGTGAGAGATCATGAACATGAGGGAAGGAAGAGGAACACAGATCAGGTGGTGTAGAGACAGGGGACGGCGGCAGGGAGGAGAGCCCCTGCCTGGGCCGTGGGGCGGAGGATCCTGGGAAGGAGAAGAGATTGTGACTGCACTTCCCATCACGGCCATCTGGAGTCATGGTCCAAAAGCTTGCAAGATGTATGTGCGAGCCCCCGCCCCCGCCAACCCTCTCCCCAGGCCATGGATTCCACTTCCTCTCTCCTCTGAATGGATGGTAACTGGAGCATGGGCAAAGCCACGAGCACAAGCCTGTTCCTCCCAACATGGGTTTTCAGCTTCAGTGTTAATCACTACACCATGGCCCAGGCGCACATAGAAAGTGACTCAGTTATACAATAGGGGAGGAGACCCATAGCTGCAACTGGAAATTCAATCACGTGATAGTAAGACTTGATGCCTGCTGGATGGAGGTGGTTAAATCTGTGCACAGAAAACTGCTGGAAGGAGAGAGGCTGGAATATTAGGGGGATGCTCTTTTCAGGAATGAATGGTTTCTGTTTGTTTCCTGTTGTTTATGTATTTTCTCCTTTTTTTTTCCTCTCCCACAGCTGAACATGGATTGAACATCTGTGAATGGCAGGCTTAGCATACACAGGTGTTGATGTGAGGAAAAAGGCACCAAGCTGAAGAGGTGAGGCATGCGTCTTTATGTGCACACCTCATGGACTACATGTGCACTCGCCATGGACCACACCTCAGTTAGAAAGACCCAACTCAGGACTAGAAGGGCAAGCAGCACTGACCCCACGTCCACAGCCCCCGCACCTGTAATTGATGTTTCTCCGTGAGTTGATGTCCCAGCTCTGGATGGCTGCCCACATGCGCTCCTCCACCTCCTCCCGCTGGGGTTCACAGATGCCCCAGGCCTCAGGCCCATCAAACATGATGTGGGAGAGGACGCCGCAGGCGTTGTAGGAAACCTCAATTCCATCTGCCTTGCTCTCCAGCAGGTTGCTGCCAGGAAGGGAGAAAAATGGAGTCCAGATCCCCAAGGCCCACTTCAGATACCGGCTGCCAGACTCCAACTCAGATTAGATGCCAGAGGGACTACTGACTTCTTTATCACTTATTATCCACACCCAGATGGCAGTTTTTTTTTTTGGCTGTGCTGCACACCTAGCGGGATCTTAGTTCCCTGGCCAGGACTTGAACCCGGGCCCTTGAGAGTGAAAGTGCTGAGTCTTAACCACTCAAGTGCCAGGGAACTTCCCATGACTTCTTTTTCATTAAAAAAAATTTTTTTTGGCCATGCTGTGTGGCATGCAGTATCTTAGTTCCCTGAACCAGGGATCGAACCCCGATCCCCTGCATTGGAAGCGTGGAGTTCTAACCACTGGACTGCTAGGGAAGCCTCCCCCAGATGACTTCTAAAGGGACTCTGAGGTCATTTAAGATAACATATCGCTACAAGGGGGCCATTTATGGAGGGTTGAAAGGATAAAAAACTGCACCATAGAGTGAAGGTGACATTCCTAACAGAAAACTAGGCTGATAGCAGTTGTTACAATTGAGCACTGACTAGAGCTCTGAGCATCCTGGCAGCCAAGGTGAAAAGAGAAAGGCGAAAAGTACCAACCTGAAGACACTGATGAACTGGGAAGTCATTAGCTGGGGCCGTAGCTCCTTCACCTCTGCCACGTTCCCCAACAGTCCCAGCATATTCCGATGCAGCTCCTGCTTCTCTGGGAACTCCTGGCAAGATAAGAGCCGTTGGGGTTAGAGCAGTGAGTACCTGATTCGTGTCCGATGCTGGTAACTCACTCACCGGAGTGAGTAACTGATTTGTGTCTGATGCTGGTAACTGGAAGCTTTACGAGCATCTGTCCGGCCATTTCTACTGGACAAAGACAGGGTGCAATTTGCTGCCCTCCTACCGCCCAGTACACCTAGGACAGTGCTGGGAACCCACTAGAAGGGGTTAAAATAGTAGGGCTCCATGCCACAAACTCAAAGGCTGAGTGTGCAGATCTGACCTATAAAATTATGAATGGGACAAACATGATTCTATTTACCAAAACTCAAAATATTAAGCTTTAGGGAACCCTTTTGGAAACTACAGCAAGAAAATAAAAGAATGAGTTTTAGGATGAACAGGTCATCCTACTGGACAGAATTCTGTCCAGTAGACACCCCAATGGATTCTGGTCAGACCTGGGCAGTTTGAACGACCACGCTGAGAAGAACCGGTTTGGGTTTTTCCTTGGAGTGTGTGCTGCGTGTTAAGTCACTTCAGTCGTGTCCGACTCTGCAACCCCTGGACTGTGACCCACCAGGCTCCTCTGTCCGTGGAATCCTCCAGGCAAGAATGCTGGAGTGGGTTGCTATTTCTCCCTCCAGGGGATCCTCCCAACCCAGGGACCAAACCCATTTCTTTTGTCTCCTACTTTGGCAGGCGGGTTCTTTACCACTAGCGCCACCTGGGAATTCCCTTGGAGGGAGGGCTCCAAGAGAGGCCCAGCCAGGCCATCTGGGTCAGCGAAGACCTCCACAGCACATCCTGGGCTGGTGGGTCTGAGTGGACCCCACTGCCCTTCCATGGGAACCACAGGGAGAGGGTGGCTGGGGGACCTGGGGTCAGAGGAGAGGCCGCGTGGGGGTCCGGCTGCTGCTGGAGAGGCGCTACCTTCAGGCAGTCCAGGAAGAGCTTCATGCCGTTGAAGTTGAGGAACATCTCGCAGTTGTCGGGCGTCTCATCTGTGATGTTCCACAGGGCGCTCCAGGAGAACTCCATCACCTGGTCGCACTGAGGCGGGGAGGGGGCTCAGCACAGGTGCGCCGGGGGGCACCCGGTGGGGGGTCCCCGGACAGAGGCGCACACCCCCCAGGGCGAACCAGTCCCCTCTCAGCCGAGGGGAGGGACGGGTGGCTCCATGAAGACTTGACTTACTATCTTGTCCAGCAGCTTCTTCTGAATCAGCTTCAGCATGGTCTGTGGGCAGAAAAGAAAACTTGACGGGGGGTGGCGGGAGGGCCAGGGCTTCAAGAGCTACCGTGTCCTCCCAGAACCAAGATGGAGGGAGAAGTCAGTTACCCCATTCCTGTTAATACCTCCTGACGAGATTACATCTGCCTCTCTAGGCACTACCCTGGGGGCCCAGTGGTTGGGAATCCACCTTCCAATGCAGGGGACGTGGGTTCGATCCTTGGTTGAGGAACTAAGATCCCATACGCTGCAGGGCAACTAAGCCCAAGTACCACAACCACTGAGCCTGCCGCAGCTAGGAACTGACACAGCCAATTAAATACATAAATATTTCAAAAAAACAAAAAAACCCTGCCTCTCTATTTGGGAGGCTGTTGGAAGAAGTGAGACCCACAGACCCGGTACTCAGCATTAGGAGGCCTGGCTCAACCTTGACCCGCCTGGCTTTGGGCACAGCCCTCCCACCCTGTGGACTTCAGCCTCCCCAGCGATGACTGAAAGGAGATTGGAGGTGCCTCCCTCATCCTTCCCTTCCTTTCTCCAGCAGATATTGATGATCTCCCCCATTGTACACCATGCCCTGTGCTAGGAAGTGCTGGGGACAGGATGATGGAAGGATGTAGCATGGTGTCTCCCACCCAGGGTGGAGGCTGACGTTAAACAGCTAGCCCCTCAGATACTTCCTTAATCCCAGCTGCAAAGACATAACAGGGGCACCTGGTCTGAGCAGGCAGGAGTGACTCGTATAGTGGGACCTCCCGGGACAATGGAGGGGCTGGGAAAGGATGACAGAGAATTCTAGGTGGAGGAACTCTAGGGTCAGAAGCAACGTTCACTGCTAGGATGTGAATCCCAAATCCACCCTTTTGGCAGGGGAGTCTGGAAGAGAGAGGGAGGAGAGGAGGGAAGGGCAGCCCCCTGCTGCACGCACCACGACAAAGCCCATCTTGCCCACGGCCTCCTTGTGGTCATTGTCCACCTGGCAGACCAGCGCGTTGCACAGGTGCACGGCGATGCGCTGGATCGACTCGTCCTGCCTCGTGGGGTTGAGGATGCTGAGCAGGAGCTCGTTGACGCGGCGGTACTGGAACTCCAGCTCCTCTGGGATGCTGAAGTTACAGAGAGTCAGGCAGCAGTTCCGCTGGACCTGGGTGAGGCCAGGAGACAAGTGGAGCACAGTCAGGGGTGGCCCTGGAAGCTGGACCTGAGAGTCTCTCTAGAAGTGTGGGGTCCCAGAGCTGTGGCAATCCAGGAAGGCTTTCTGGAAGGAGACTAAGAGGCCGTTTATTTTCTTTAACATAAAAAAAAAGTGAACTATAATATACAGAGTAGAGGGCATGAAATATCAAGGTATAGTTTCGCAAGTAATTATAAAGCAAACAAACTCTTCAACAACCATGGAACCACCATCTGTGTCAGGAAAACGGACACTGATCAAGAAGTCCCCGTGTGTCCCTTCCTGATCGTAAGCCCTCTCCCTGAGAGACCGCCCTATCCTGGCCTTTCCATTTGAAAGATTCTCCAGCAACTTGCGGCTTATGTTCCACTGCAGCTTTGCAAGATCAACCATGTTGTCATTAGTAGCTGAGATGCATTTATCTTTTGTTTCATTTGCAGTGTAGAATTCCAATTGATTCATCCAACCCACTGCTGGTGGACATTTGGGTAGGCTTCGGTGTTTGGTTTCTTCAAGGCAGCCATGTGTGTGGGCTCCTCCAGGGCCACCCACGAGTGGGGTGGAGCATCTGGGTGACAAGGTGTGCATGTCTTTGGCTTTACCAGGTAACTCCAGAATGTTCTCACGGTCCTGTACCAGTTTACACTCCCCCCAGCAGCACAGGAAAGTTCCAGTTGCTTCACGCCCTTTTTGTGTTATCTGTGGGTTATTTTTTTTTTATTTTCATAGTATTCTTGGCACATTTTCCTCATAATTTAACTTCCCTCCATCCTTTCTCATTAGATATTGGAAGTTCACCACACTTCATCCCTTACATAAATTAGAGAATATTACCAACCTGGGCTTGATCCCTGGGTTGGGAAGATCCCCTGGAGAAGGGAATGGCCACCCACTCCAGTATTCTTGCCTGGAGAATTCCATGGACAGAGGAGCCTGGTGGGCTCTAGTCCACAGGGTTGCAGAGTCAGACAAGACTGAGGACTAACACTGCCAAACCCTTGTTAGCTCTGTCCTTCCCCCCATAATATACACACATTTTGTAATTTGGGGAAAAATTATTTTAAATTATAGAAGCAAGACTTACTGTGAAACATTCAAATAACATTATCTGAGCAGAAAGTGAAAGTCCCTTTATTCTTCAGAAGTAATCCCTATTAAAAGTTTGGTGCACAACCATCAAGATTTCTCTACCATGAAAATACAAATATGGGGAGGGGAAGAGCAAAAAGAGGTTTTATCCACATTGGTCCAGAACATCTCTTCACTTGTCCACCCACAGGGTCATCCATGTTTTCATGTTAGGATGTACAGATTTACCATCATATCCCATAATGTGAGTGGATCTTACACTACTTTGCAGTGCCAGGCCCCTATTGTTGAAAGCTTTTGGTTTCCTCTGACTTCTATGTATCAAAAAGGGAGAATGTATATATATTTTTCGTTTATGAATATCTCTTAACTGTGGAATACCTAAGCCAAAAGGTCAGTGCACTTACAGTTTTGGCAGGTTCTGCCGATTGCCCCATGAAGAGGCTATCTGATTCATACCTCACCAATGGAAAACAGAACGTGTTCTTCCCCTGGCCTTCGTCAATGGGTATCATCAATCTCCCCAGTCAAAAAGTGGTTTTTATTAATTTCTGTTTCTTATTAATTTCTATTTCTTTGAATGAGTTTATTAATTTGCAAGTCTTCAACTAGCATTGTTTTTTCTTAAAAAAAAAAAGACACCCCTGGGACCTCCTTGGTGATCCAGTGATTAATTTGTGCTTCCAATGGAGGACACAGGTTCAGTCCCTGGTTGAGGAACTGAGATTCCACATGCTGCATAGCACGGCCAAGGGGAAAAAAAAAAAACAAACCCTTTTACCTGATGATAAAATCTATCTCAACAAAGGAAAAAGTTGCTCTCAAGTCTGGAGTTGGGCATCAGTGGGAAAGGGGGCCTCCTCACTCCTGCAGAGGTTGCATCCCCACCAGAGCCTTTCTGCAGGACAATGCAAGAATATATACCAAATGCTTTAAAAATACATAGACCCACCGCTCCAGCAGTTCTTTTAGACAAATCTCATAACAAGCATGGCTTACATGTATTCAGCAAAGCCTGATTTGAAAGAGCAAAACATGGGGACTTCCCTGGTGGTTCAGTGGGTAAGACTCTGACTTCCCAATACAGGGACCTGGGTTCAATCCCTGGTCAGGGAACTAAATCCCGCATACTGCAAATAAGATCCCGCTTAATCACAACTAAGAGCTGGCACGTTCGAATTAAAAAAAAAAAAAGAAATAGCAAAACGTGAAAAGTAACCTAAAATGTTCAACTGTGGCGCTGACTCAGTCAGTGCAGCCCACGTACTCGGGGGAGCCCCTCTGACTGTTCCGTGGGGATGGGGCTTGGCCACGGCCTCCAAGTCCCCAAAAGAGTCAGCAGCAGGGCAGCCTCTCTCTGGGGGAGGCGCTGCACACAGTGCTGACATCAACAATTAGGAAGCTGAACTGTTAAAACCAGCTGCCCAGGGGGAGGAGCCCCAGGATTGGCACTTTCACTTTCCAGTTAGTCTTAAACATTTTCTGTTACTTAAATTTGTTTTCTAAGCATTAGGGAGCTCACTTTTTGCCACCAGAAAAGAAACATGACTTTTCAAATTTTTTTGTTAAGTGTTTGTTGATATGGGAGATATTCACATTCACAAGATGCTGTTGAAATGAAAACCCATGTTACAAAACACAGGACTCACAGGATGGTCCTGTTTATTCAATAATTATGCACAGACTAAAAGCCAGAAGGATATTAATGGTGGCTATCTCTGTGTGCTGAAATTATGGCTTTTTTTCCCCCTTTATATCCATAATTGTAATTTTTCTCCAGTAAAAATTTGATTACTTTTATAACAAAAGCAGCTATTGAAAAAAAAAAAAAACAAACCCACCCCAGCAGAGCATTACTGGGAAGAAGGGCTAAGAACAAGCAGGAGCAAAGGCCCGGGGCCCCTGGGGGAGCGGGGTGGGAGATGGACGTTTGGGTGGGGCCAGATCAGGGGGCCCTGAATGCCTGGTCCCAGAGTCTGGGAGGGATGCCCCGGGAAAGGGGGCGTTGGGAAGGGGGCGGGACAGAGCCAGGAGAGAAAGGGGGAGAGCAAGCATGGTACCCGTGGGGATCGGCGAGGCCGGGACACAGGGCGAGGGGCCAGGGTGGGCAGCGGGCGGGGGCTCACCGTCACCTCCTGGTAGGATTCCATGCCATTCAGCACCACCTGGATGACCTGCCGGCGCAGCTTGACGCTCTGCTCCGAGCGGTACTCGGAATTGGTCAGGTAGAAGAGGGCGGCGCTGCCGGTCACCTGGATGTTCTTGTCATACTTGTGGCACTTGAGGGCCGTGATGACCAGCTGTACCAAGACACGGGGCCAGGGGTTGGCCGGGCCTGCTGCCGGCGTGCAGGGTCAGGCCTGGGGCGGGGTGCGGGGGCTTGGACAGGTCCTCTGGGGCAGAGCTCAGCCCGATCCTGCTCCCTGAGGGCAGGAGTCGGGGTTGGGAGGCAGAAACTGGGGTCAGCCATGGTCCTGCGACAGGGTCAGTGCTGGGCCAAGTGAGGCGCTGAGAGATGAAGTTGGGGTTCGGGGGGTGGGATGGCCGGTGTCCTGGGAAAGATGAGGGGGGTGGTTGAGGAGGGGATGGTGGGGAATGAACTGGAGCCCCTCGGAGGGCCCTCCAGGGTTGGTGCTGACCTTCAGGGCCCGCAGAAGCTGGTTGCAGCGTTCAATGCGTGCGATGTCGAAAAGCAGGTTGATGGCCCGTGAGGTGATCTCCGGCCGGTGCTCCGTGTAGGCCTCGATGGCGTTCAATACCTGCTCCTCGTTTTTGTCACCACTCACCTGGAGATGGCCCATGCTCAGAACGTCCCGGAAGTGGCCGAGGGGTGGGATGCCTGATCCTAATTCCATCTCTAACCCCAGGGTGGACACCCCCTTCCTTGTCCCGGGGCGCCCTGGTCCTCCCCTCCCTGTGCCCCCCTCTCACTTTGTAGGCCGGAATGTGCGTCAGGCGGCACAGGGAAGTCTCGAAGAGCCCAAGGAACTGCAGTGGCCTCTTCAGGGCCCGGAAAGGCATGATGCTGCTCTTGGAAGGCTCGATGCTGAGGGGAGAGGGAGCTGGAATCAGTGGTGTGGGGCCTGCAGCTGCCCTGGATTCAGCACAAAGGAGAGCCTCTCCCTGGGGGTGGCAAAGCACATTTCCTTTGGGCCCTCTGCTAGGCCCTCTAGCCTTGTCTGTTTTTTATTTTAAAGGCAGTAGGGGACTTTCCTGGTGGTCTAGTGTTTAAGATTCTGTGCTTCCACTGCAGGGGGCACGGGTTTGATCCCTGGTCGGGGAACTAAGATCCTACGTGTCTCATGGTATGGTCAAAAAAAAAAAAGGCAGGGGACAGACATAGACCCCACCTCTTGATGGGAGGGTGACAAGGTCACATTGTAGAGAACATGTGGGATGGGAGATAACTGTTGCAGCCAATCCTGCCTGCCAGTCCAGGGAGGGCGTATCACCTTGAGGTTCCCTCAACAGCCATGAATGGACATGCCCATCAACCAGACTCCACTCCAGTCCAGGTTGGGGGGAGGGTTAAGACCAATGACAGTAACAGGGAGGGAACATATGTATACATATAGCTGATTCACTTTGTTGTATAGCAGAAATTAACCCAACAGTGTAAAGCAATTATACTCCAATTAAAAAAAAACACCAGGGACTTCCCTAGTGATCCAGTGGTTAAGAATCTGCCTTGCCGTGCAGGGCAGATGGGTTTGATCCCTGGTTGGGGAACTAAGATCCCCCATGCCCAGATGCAGCAACTAAGACCCAACACAGCCAGATAAATAAATAAATATTTAAAAAAAAAAGACCAAAGATAGCTAGAGGGAGGTCTGAACCAGCTCTCTCACCCGACCAACCCAGGGTCCAGCCTGTTAGCAGTAACAGCTAACGAGTGGTGGGTATGCTGGTCTCCCGTGAACACCACCACACGGCTCAGCCCGTCTGAGCGCTATAACCTCCCAGTCACTCCCCATGCTCATAACTCCAGCCTTTGCACATGCTGTTCCCTCTGCCAGAGCACCGTGGTAAACAGCTTCTTCCGGCAAACCCAAGAGTGAGCTTTCGGCACAGCCTGGATGCCATGCCTCCTCCTCCTTCCTTCTGATCCTCAGGGCCACTCCGGAGCAACGTGTTGCCCCTACCACAGCCCCAGTGATGACCTGCCTGTCCCACTAGCTCACACCCACACGAGAGGGCCTGATTTGTTTCTTCCCCGTTAGCACAGCGGTTGGCCCAGGGGCGCCTGGTTAACGCTTGTTGGATGACACCCGCTCGCAAACAGGGCAGGTGGGGCCCCACCTGGTCTGTCCCGCTTCCTCATCCATCTTGGAGATGCTGCAGTTCTCCAGAATCATGTGGCCGGAGATGTCCAAGGACATCAGGTTCCCCAGCTTCTGCACGAAGAGGCTCAGCACCTTTCGAGTCAGCTTGAACTTGTAGTAGCTGGAGAGGCGGTCTCGGGAGATGTCCAGGTGTCTGGAGGTTGGGGCAAGGGGGTCATGGGTCAGGATCTGGACACAGACTGGGCCTGCCTTGTAGACTCCTGCTGCTTTAGTCAAGAGGCCCCTGCTACAGCTGACCCAGGCGCCCTGAACAGCCCCGATCCAGCCAGAACAGGGGTTGTAAAGCATGGGACTGTCTCTTCTAGCCCCACGTGCTGCCTGGCTGGCAGGTCAGGGAACTTCTGGGACTGCCGACCCCCACCTCCCTGCCCCAACCCCGCAAGCGCAGAGCTCACCGCAGCTTGTGCAGCTGGACGATGATGCGGATGTGGTCATCCGACAGGTCCATGTTGTAGAGCACGAGGGACACCAGACTGTCTTTCCACTGGGTGAGGAAGGCTGCGTCGCTCGTCTGGATGCCCGAGAGGTCCAAGGCGGCCAGCGAGTTGAGGGGCCGCAGCAGGGACTCCACAGGGACCCCATCAATCATGCGGCCCAGATTGAGGAAGCGCAGGCGGCTGAAGCCCTCAAAGGTGAAGTCCTTGACCAGCACCTGGCAGGTGGGGTTGACAAGGCACTCGTCTTCGCAGCCCCCGGGGTTCTCCTCCTCGTAGAAGATGTTCGCACAGCCGAAAAGGCTCAGGGACACCAGGGTGTGGCTGAAGCTCCTCAGAGTCTGCAGGCTCTTGGCGGACAGCTTCTCGCAGTTGGTCAGGTACAGCTCCACCAGGTCCTGGCGGCGGGTACAGCCCCGTCATCACCTCCGCCCACCCCTACCCTGTCCCTGGGCCTGGCCCTGGGCCACAGGTGGGATTGGGGAGGGGTCCGCTCAATAGGGGGCTTCCCTGGCGGCTTAGTGGCAATCTGCCTGCAGAGCAGGAGCTGCAGGAGATGAGGGTTTGATCCCTGAATTGGGAAGATCCCCTGGAGGAGGGCATGGCTACCTGCTCCAGGATTCTTGCTTGGGAGAATCCCATGGACAGAGAAGTCTGGCGGGCTACAGTCCATGGGGTCACAAAGAGTCGGACATGACTTGGTGAGTACACACGCATGCGCTGCACAATAGGAAGGGCGCTGGCAGGGCCTTGGGATTCCTGCTCCGACTCCCTGCCTAACTGTCTTGGGGCGGCCTCCTGTGGCCATGCCCGGGGCCTGTATGACTGGGTCTCACCTGCTTGCGAATGGCCTCCAGGTCCTGGTCTTGCACCAGGTCCTCGCGGAGGTGGATGCGGGTGAGGCGGGTGCTGCGGGGGTCAGAGAAGAGGCTGAAGAAGCTCTCGTGCGGCTCAAAGTTGCAGGCGGCATTGACCAGCTCCACGTACCTGGGAGGGAAGGAAGCCTGGTTCAGGGCAGGGCCCCTCGCCCTCCCTTCAAGGCCCAGCACAAGCCTCCCCTGCCAAGACTTCCCTGATCATCCCAGCAGCAACCTCCGTCTCCTCCTCCTCATAGTACCTGGCTGGATCCTGAGCACCTGACCGGTGAGTTTAAGGGTGGACCCAGGACCCAAGAGTCCAAAAGTAAACTAACTGATGATGAAGGGCCTCTTATCACTGGCAAATCCCAAGCTCTTCCCCTCTAAACTGTAGACACTTCTGTAACAAACTATAGACACTTCTGTAACAAACACACACGTCCACACTCCCCGTTTTCTTTTTAAGCCAGCTTCTGGTTCCTTGATCAGCCCCTCCCAGGACCCCATCCAACAGCAAGACTGAGCCGAGTCGTCTGGAGCTCTGAGCTGGGTACAGGGCAAGCACTCAGTAATAGTTCTGCTGAGATACCAGTGGAGGCAAGAATCCTGGCCTGGTTGGGAAAAGCCATGGAATCAAAAACTCTAGAATCTAAATCCTGGATTGGATGTTCACTACCTGGGCAACTTCACACAAGTAAGTGAACTTCCCCAGACCTCAGCTCCTTCATCTGTAAAATGGATACAACTTTGGTCTGCAGTGTCTAATCTAGTGCCCAATCCACATCAGATACTCAGAACATTTTTACAAGCTGGGCTCTTGGGTCACACACAGATTCCCACTTTTACAGGCAACTTTCTGGGCTAGCCATTTCCCTCTGGGTAACCTGGGTTGAACCCCAAGCAGTCAGACACAGACACTACTCTTCTAGGAGTCTACTAGTGGGGAGTCCCTTGCAGAAGCCACAGAGAGAGCTTCCGAATGATCTCATCCCTGTTGACGGGTCAAGCAGTCAGCACTGGTGCGTAAACATGTAATAAGTGTTCAGGTGCACACAGAGACATGTGTGCACAGGCACATGTACACACACATGCATGGATACACGTGCACACACACACACAGGACAGCACGCAACTCCTTCATTTACGTAAGAAGTTTCTACATTCTCTTAATGCAAACCGGCAGTTTCACACTCAAACCTGTGCACCAGAAACCCACGTGTGGGCACATCATTCCTTCACGTGCGCACACCGCCACACACACCAACATGTACAATTAGAACTTGATGGACACAGACAGGCCACTGCTCTCCTGCACCCATGGATAGCCACGTGTGTGCACACCCCCAAGGGGGCACACTCAGGGCTCCCAACCTCTCCCTACACACCCATGCGAGGCTCGGGCCCTGCCCCAGCCCCGCGCCTGCTCACTCGTTGACGAGCCGGTCACAGATCTCGCTGGGCAGGAAGATGTCCGGATGCAGCCGCAGGGTCTCCTTGTCCAGCAGGTAGCCCAAGGTGCCGTCCAGGTTGCGCAGGCAGAAGTCGGTGCAGAGGGCCATCAGGGACTCGGGGGTGTCAGACGCCATGCTGGGAGCCGGCAGGTGGGCCACACTGGGACAGGGGCCCCCCGGGGCAACTGTGACGCCCTGACACTCACAGAATCATTGGCAGAGCTGCAGCCTGGGGAAGGAGAAAGCAGCTAAGTGAGACACGGGCAAGGGCCGGGACCCCAGCTGCCCTAGGTCCGTCTGCTGTCTGAGTAGTCAAGCTGAGGTCCTGGATGGCACATTCAAATTGAGCAGTTTAGGGACTTCCCTAGTGGTTCAGTGGCTGAAAATTTGTCCTCCAATGCAGGGGACACAGGTTCGATCCCTGGTCAGGCAACTAAGATCCCACAAGCTGTGGAGCAACTGAGCCCATCTGTCACACTATTGAGCCTGTGCTCTTGAGGTCGCAACAAGAGAGAGGCCTGCGCGCCGCCATGAAGACCCAATGTAGCCAAATAAATAAGCAAAAATTAAAAAAAAAAAAAAAAAGCAAAAATTAAAAACAAAAAACCAAATTCAGCAGCTTAGCAGGGTCAGGGCCCAGGACTCCCGACTCCTCCCTCCCCTGCACCCCACCATGGCCCACTCTGATGTGCTACCATCTACACGTGATTTGACCTGTGCAAAGAGCAGGGGGTCTTGTCGGAGCGTCTCCGTGACTTCTCAAAGTCTTCGGGCCGATGTCTGTGTTGGGGACCCAGCGCTTGGGTGGGGCTGGCAGGGGCCTTCGCCAACTGCTACACTGGGGTGTCCGCTGCTATGTCACCTACCCTGTCTAGAGCTGTCACGGTGGGGACATGTGGTGTGTGCCAGGATTTAACAGACAGGGCATCACCGCATCTCACCGGATACGATTTGCAATGAGGGCTCCTCCCAGGGGAAATGAAGATACATGACCACAGAGAAGCTGTACGTTAATGTTCAGCGTGGTATGATCCCAAAGCGTCAAAAATGGAAACAACTCAAATGCCCATCAACTGACGAATGGATAGACAAAAACATGGTATAACCATGCCATGGAATCTTACTCAGAGGTAACGGGAACGTGGTGTGCACGCTACAACACTGCACCTTGAAAATGTTATGCTAAGTGGAAGAAACCAATCACAAAAGGCCACCTATTGTATAATTTCATTTGCATGAAATGTTTGGCCAAACTGGCAAACCCACAGAGACAGGATAGATTAGTGGTTGCCTGAGGCTGGGAGGCTGTGGGGGTGGTGCAGGGAAATGGGGAGTGACTGCTAAGGGCTGTGGATTTCTTTTTGGGGTGAAGAAAAATGTTCTAAAATTGACCCTGATGATGGTTGCACAACTCTGTGAATAGATCCAAAACCCACTGAATGATTTACTTTAAACAGATAAACTGGATGGCATGGGAATCACACAGCTCAATAAAACTGTTATTAAAAAAGCAAGGTCTCATCAGACAGAGAAACACAAATGCCATATGACATCACTCACATGTGGAATTTAAAAAATAGAACGAACTAGTGAATATAACAAAAGAGAAAGAGACTCACAGACATAGAGAACAAACTAGTGGTTACCAGTGGGGAGAGGGAAGGGGAGGGACGAGATGGGGTTAGGCGTGTAAGAGGTACAAACTATCAGCTGTAAAATAAATAGCGTATAAGGACATATTGTTCCAACGTAGGGAATATAGCCAATATTTCACAGTAACTCTAAAAGAGTGTAACCTTTAAAAATTGTGAATAAGTATGTTATACACCTGTAACATTAACTATACCTCAATTAAGAAAAAAAAAAGCGGGGACTTTCCTGGAGGTCCAGTGGTGAGTATTCCATGCCTTCACTGTAAGGGCCCAGGGTTCAATCCCTGGTCAGGGAACTAAGATCCCACAAGTTGTGTAGTGTGGCAAAAAAATAAATAAAATAAAAATGAGGTATAGTGAGGGAGTTTGGGATGGACATGTACACACTGTTATATTTAAGATGGATAATCAACAAGGGCCTACTGCATGGCACAGGGAACTCTGCTCAATGTTATGTGGCAGCTTGGATGGAAGGGGAGTTTGGGAGACAATGGACACATGCATATGTACGGCTGAGTCCCTTTGCTGTCCACCTGAAATTATCACAATGTTGTTAACTTGCTATCGTCCAAAACAAAGTAAAAAGTTTAATAAAAAAAAAATAAAAGTGAAGTCTCTGAGAATCTTCATGATCTTGAGGTAGGTAAAGTTCTCTTAAAAGGACTCATAAGATAAAGACAATAAACTGATATGCACTGAAGTGAAGAACCTTCATTCATATATACACGAAAATTAATTTGAGATGGACCACAGACCATGTGAAAGGTAAAACAAATAGATTTCTAGAAAAAAACATAGGAGTATATCTTTATGATTTTAGAGTAGGCAATCATTTCTTAAATAGGTCACCAAAAAAAAAATCTATAAAGAGAAACTGACAAATTGGACTGCCTCAAAATTAAGACTCTTTTCATCCAAAGGTACCATTAAGACAGAGAAAAGAAAAGTCACAAACTAGAAGATGTTTCCAATAATATATCCAACAAAAGACTTGTATTCAGAATATATAAAAACTTCTACAGATCAGAACACAGAATCCAATTAAAAAACAGACAAAACAAACAAACAAACAAAAAAAACAGGTAAAGGCCTTGAACAGGCCTTTCATAAAGGATAAGGAAACAAACAATAAACATAAGGAAAAGGAAAACCACAATGAGATACCATTTTGTAGCCATCAGAACAGCTCCATTGGAAACAACAAAACAGGCAACACTGAGCCTGAGTGAAGCTATGAAAAAAAAAGAAAAAAAAAAAAAGAAGCTATGGAACAAGAGGAGGCCACCCACACTGCTGGTGGGAGTGGGAACTGGCGTGAACTGGGAGTGTAACTAGAATACTCTGAGATGCTATTAAAGCTGAACACACACATACGGTCAGTGGTCAGCAGCCCCACTGCCAGGTATACACCCACCAGCAAGGCATGTGAATGTTCATGGAAAGACACAGACAGAATGTCCACAGCAGCACCATCCCTAACAGGACAGAAGTTCAATGTCCAGACATGAGAATAAAGATTACGGTTGACTCACCAATGCAACACTACACAGCAATAAGAATGCATCACCTCTCAACAGCCTGGATGAGCCTCACAATGCTGAGTGAAAGGAGTCAGATGCAGAAGAGTGTATACTCATACACGGAGTGAACCCACTTATGTTTTACTTCCTTATGTTAAAAAACAAGATAATCTGAGAATTAATTCCCTGGTGGTCCAGTGGTTAGGACTCCACACTTCCACTGCAGGGGGCACAGGTTCTATCCCTGGTTGGGGAACTAAGGTCTTGCATGCCATGTGACATGGCCAAAAGGAAAAAAAAAAAATTTTTTTTAAAGAAGGAAAATCTAATCTGTGGTAGCAGAAGTCAGGACTGTGGTTATTTTGGGGGTTTGGCTGGGTGCTGAGAAGCTTCCAGTCCCTTATCTGAGTGCTGGGCATACAGGTGTGTGCACTTTGTCAATATTCAGAGAGCTGTCTATTATGACATGTGCACTTCTAAAAATGTATATTGCAATTCAACAAAAAAGAAAATGGCCTGGACACCAAAGAAGTCCACATTTAAAAGGGACTGGGGGTCCAGGTAAGTGATATTCCAACTGACTATGCATCGTCAGCTACCGCAAGTGGCTAGTGAAACTGAAGTAGCTCAGTCGTGTCCAACTCTTTTCGACCCCGTGGACTGTAGCCTACCAGGCTCCTTCCTCCATGGGATTTTCCAGGCAAGAATCCTGGAGTGGGTTGCCATTTCCTTTTCCAGGGGATCTTCCGGACCCAGGAATCAAACCCAGGTCTCCCGCATTGCAGGCAGATGTTTTAACCTCTGAGCACCAGGGAAAAGAGAGAATGAAAACTGAATCTTCAACTCCAAGTGGAGTGAATAAGACAGGTAACAATCAACCATTTACAGACCCAAGGACAGTCAGGAATTAGTCCCAAACCATTTTCCTATGACAGTCTACGTCAGAAATGGGGAGAAAGGGACTTCCCTGGTGGTCCAATGGCTAGGACTCTGAGATCCCAATGCAGGGGGCCCTGGTTTAATCCCTGGCCAAGGAACTAGATCCCATATGACGCAACTAAAAATCCTACACGCTGCAAGGAAGATGGAAGATTCTGTGTGTCGCAACTAAGACTCGGAGCAGCCAAATAAACATAGATCAAAAAGAAGTAGGAGCGGGGGAATAGGCAAAATGAATCTATGGTGTTAGAAGTCAGGGTGGTGATTACCTTTGCAGGAGGCAGTAATCAGAAAGTGGCAGGGGTCTCTGGGTGGGCTGGGACAGGTATGTACACTTGTGGAAATTCAAACTGTCTGCTCAGGCTCTGGGCGCCTGTCCTATAGTGTCCTTCAATAGATTTTGCTTTTTTTCAAGTGAAGGCTCTGTGGTTAGACAGAGCCATGTTTCTTTTCTTTTTTTTAGAGCCATGTTTCAATTCAGTTCCACAGTTCACTTGTAAATTATTTAACCTCTCTGGTCCTCAGTTTCCTCATCTGGAAAATGGGGACAGCAATCCCCACTTCACAAGATTGTTGGGAAAAATGCCTCATCTCAGGCGTGACAGGCCTCAGTGCACAACAACGGGTGGTCATGACCCCACCTTACAGGTGAGGAAACTCCGGCTCAGAGAGAGGGGCTGCTCTGTCCAAACTGGGATGGGAACCTCATCTCTTGGAGGGTTCTGCAGGGGTCGAGGCCCCAGCATCACCCCTGGCTTCTTGGAGCCTCTGCATCCGCATTTGAGGCTTCTAGGCTGCTTGGGAAACTGAGTGGGAGGCCACAGAACACTGTGCCCCTTGGAACGGCCAGTTCTAGGTTCTGGCGGCACTGGTGACTGTGCTCTAAGAGCTCTGGAGCCAGGCCAACCCAGCTTCCAGTCTCAGCCCCGCTGCCTGAGATCTGGTGAACTTGGGCAAGTGTCTTCACTTCTCTGTGCCTCAGTTTCTTCTCTGAAATAGAGAACACCGAGTGCAGATAACACGGAAAAATATAGAAAGGGCTTAGCACGGTACCCAGCATTGTAACTGCTCCCTAAAAGCTTTCACATCACCATCACCGTTATCATCCGTTTCTCCTGCCTCACCTGCCCTGGTCCCCAGTGCAGGATCTGTTCCCCCCAGCTCCAGGGCCCTGGCTCTCTGCCACCAGGCTCACTGTGCCAGCTGTTCCACTGGGGCCGTGACACCCTCGAGGAAAAGCGCAGTAAACAGGCGGCGCGGCCCTGGGCACGGCCCTCCCCTGATTGCGCTCTCAGATCTTCAAGAGGGCAGCAGCCTCTTGCCCAGGAAGCTGAGCTCAGCGTGCACACCACTGGCAGGGCCACGCGTCCTGCTGGAAACTGCCGAGTTCATCTCTTCAAGCAGTCACTCAAGGCCCCCAGAAGTGGGACCAGCTCAGCAGCCTGCTCGCCGTCTCCAACTCCCTACTCCAGCCACAGTGGCCTCCTTCGTTGTACTGGCAATGGGCCAGAGGCACAGGGTCACCTTCAGACCTTCGGCACCCACTTTTTCCCCTCAACCCCGTTCCCAACGCCCAAAACACATTCCTGCCCCTCCTCCAGGAAGCATCTCCCAACCTTTGAACTCTTTACCCAGCTGATGTCTCCATGCCCTCAGGCCTTAGTGTTGCTTCCTCTGGGAAGCCTTCCCTGACCTGGCCAGGGTTCTCAAGCTGGCTGCCCCCACGGGCCCTACCACAACAATTAATATTTTGAACTGATGCCAGTTTAATGATCCAGCCTCCCTGCCAGACAGCCAGCTGCATGAGGGCAGGAACCGGGCTGTCTCCTCTGGTCCCATCCCTGTACTTGGCCCAGGGTTACTGTCTATGGAGCACTGTGGGCCTGAGGGTGAGCGAAATCAGGCAGGTCTTAGTCTCGTGGAGCACATTGGTTCTGGAGGGGCACAGACACCCCCACCTAAGAAGCACAGAAACCCACGCCACTGGACCCCATGCTCTGAAGGAGAGGGTGGTAGCTGGGGTTCTGGGTGCCCGAGCCCCAGGGGACCTGCCCTGGGCTGGAGAGTTAGGGCAGACGTCCTTGGAAGTGACATTTCAGCAGCAACCCAAAAGATGAGTCATAGTTCACTCCGGTGGCAGGGAGAGAAGGGAAAGGCATTCCAGGAAGAAGGATAAGATGCTCCCAGACTGAAAGGGCAGAGGGTGGGGGCCCTGGCACCACAGCCTCGATTCCACGACTCCGGGCCGAACAAAGGCCGCATGCCCCGTGTGGGCACGGCACATATGCTGTAGCGTTTCAGCACAAGCAGGAGACCTGGGGGGCAAGGCATGCTCTCGGATGCTCCCCACCCACTGTGCCCGGGACAGTGCCAGCACCCAGGGGGCACAGCAGAACCCTCCCCACTTGGGACGAGAGAGCTGCAGGGGCTTCACTCTTTCCGTAGAACAAGCCCAGCCACCCAGGTAGCCGTTCGGCCCTAACCCTGCTCCTCAGCTGGAAGAAACACCAGTTTGTTAGCCGCCAAGATGAACCAACTGCCTTCAAAAGATAACCGGCCAGATGGCACAGATCTGGCAACGCTTTTGGCAGTGCCAGCCCTGCTGCCGGAGCCGGGGATGAGCCGGAGGAAGAATGGGCCATCCATCTCGGCACAGAGGCTGAGACGCCTGGGGGCCCCCCTAACTGTACCCCTTCCAGCCAGAGGTGGGCATCTCTACCCACCCCATGACTAGCCCCTCAGGCTCTGCATTCTCATGGCGGGCACTGGCCATTTGGGATTCTGGCAACTGGAGATGGAAAGAACTCTGATTATAACAGAACAAGCACACAGCAAGAAGAATCCTGCATCTTCCTCCATGCCATCTCTTGCCTGCATCTGACAGGAGCTATGACATCCTGGGGGGTGGGGGGCAGTGGGGAGCGAACAGTAACAGCCGCCTCCAAATCGGTTGCTTCGTCTAAGCTCCTTACGGCTTTATTTCATATAGTTTCTAACTTAACCAACAAACGACATTCTCAAGGATCCTGTGCTGTGGCTAATTCATTGCTTGTATGATAATTTGTCTAACGACCCCTCCCCCAGCCTGGGCTGGGCCCCGACGATCCAGGAGGAGAGGAATCCTCTCCGCTTCCACCCTCCTGGATCCTCGGGGCCTGGCCTGTGCCTGGCACATAACAGAATAGAGGTTTGCTTCTGCCCTAGCTGCCACATTAAAACACCCTGAGGTAGAGATTGTTACTCTGTATTCCCATGAAGACACTGAGGCTTGTCTAAAGTCACACAACTAACAAGAATGGGACTCAATCCAAACCTAAACCAAACCCATGCTTCTCACCAAGTCATCCAGTCTCCTGTCCATCCAATGGAAGGGGAAGGGAATCTGGGATCCAGAGCAGGGCGCATGGGACCCTGCCAGGGTCCTAACACCCAGCCGACAGAGGCTGGGGGAGCCAGAAGCTCTGAGTGGTGCCCACCCTGTGAAATATTAACCCAGGAGCTACAGGGAAAACCCAAACAAATATCCTATTTACAGAGGCTGGAAGCTTTCCAGGAGGGAGCGGATCACAGGCCAGATAAAGGGGGTGGGAGGCTGCTGTGGAGGGGGTCAGGGCAGGTGCTGGGGGCAGGGGTGCAGGCGAGGCTCTGAGGGCATCCCAGTGGGTCTCTGACCTGCAGAGACTACTCTGCAGGGTGGGTGACATTAGGAAGATGTGGAAATGGAAGGCGCATCGCCACTCACTGGTGTACAAAGAGGCAGAGCGGCCTTGGGGACATGTAGGTTTCACGCTTGCAACTGAACGACGATCACAGTCATACTGAACACCGTATTCCGAGGACCCTGCTAAGTATTCCGCACGTGCTAACTCATTTAATTCTCCCAACAACCACGCGAGGCGGGAGTTATAATCAACCACTTACAGCCGAGGCAGCTGAGACTCAGTGGTGAACTGGCCACAGACTATGTATACGTACACAGGTCCACGTGTACAGATCAGTATGTATACATGTATTCATTACTGTGAGACTCTGAATTTTGTGCTTCCCATGCATGTGTTCATTGAAGCCACAAATAACCTACAAAGACATGTGATTTTGTTTTCCAGATGAAGAAACCATGGTTCAAGGATGTGTCATGATGTGCCCAAGTGCCCTAGGAGGAGCTTGGCTCTCTCCATCATTATGCTGTGGGCAGGAACCGTTTCTTCAAGCCTCAGCTCTCCCTTCTGTAGCATGAGCCTTCGCCTCCTTACAACCTGGAGTGTCCCTGGGCACTGAGCATAGATGATCAGGCATCCCTGACTATCCTATGGGCATACATTATTTTTTGACCACAGGACTAGAAGCTTCCTGAAGAAAGGACCCAGCGTAACTCATGGGGTCTCCATGACACAGTAATCATGTGACTGGTTGGTTGCAGGTGAAGGAGCCTTAGCTCCATGAGGTCCCCAGGCAATGTTCGCCAGCCTCAATATTCATCAGGGTCCTTATCTGCCCATGAGTTGCCAACAGCACCTACTTATGGGTTTGCTGAGGAGACGTGATGAAATAATGGCAAGAAGGTGGTAACCAATAATTATGGAGGGATTTCCCAAGAATAATGCTTGGAGAGCATTATTCCTTATGCCCATTTCTGAAGCTGGAAAAATTAGCATCAGTGATTGAACCAGTCACAGGATATTGGTCTCAAAGTAAATGCTCCAACAGGGGCCTCTGAACTTGCATTTCAAGAGTCAAGAACAGCTGAGGCACTGAAGTCCTTTGCCCAAAGTGAAGCCTGCAGAATCATGGTAATGCTAACGACAACAAGAGCTGTTCTTACCTGTGTAGAGGGCATTAGAGTGCAGTAAGTGAAAGTCACTCAGTCGTGTCTGATACTTTGCGACCCCATGAACTATACAGTCCATGGAATTTAGGCCAGAATACTGGAGTGGGTAGCCTTTCCCTTCTCGAGGGGATCTTCCCAACCTAGGGATTGAACCCAGATCTCCCACATTGCAGGTGGATTCTTTACCAGCCGAGCCACAAGGGAAGCCCATTGCAGTGCGCTGAATTCTTTTAAAACATGTGTCTCGTTTCATCCTCCCAACAGCATAGAGCTAGGGTAGACACAGGAAAACGTAGGCCCAGGTAGGGGCTAGGACGTGTCCAAGCTCACACAGTGAACCAGCGGCAGAGCTGGCCTTGACCCCAGCTCCCTGGATGACGACTGGCCCAAGGTTCTACCCGCAGCAACTGGCTCCAGCACCCCGGCTCTCAGTGTCAGCGTGCTATGGCTTTTCATTTTCAAATCCTCTGGCCCAGCTGTCCTGCTCAGCTTATGAACCCAAGCCTGCTGACATACTCCGGGCTTGGGGGTTGAGTAGACAGAGCAACCACACTGTTCCGTGCCTTACCAGGCAGGCTGCAACACCTCAGCCACTGCTGGGTGCATCTAGGATCAACAGTCTCCATCAGCCACACACACCCCAACCACATGGCAACATGCACTGCTCCCCGCAACCCATCTCCATGTCATATCTATTTCAACACCATCATTTGGCCTATATTACATGGCAAAATGGGGATTTGCTGGGCCCTTAAAAAGAAAAGAGCCCCTATAGCCTCCCACTGGTGTCAGAAAAGCCAGGATCCAGGTACTATGACAATGATACGCAACCACTGTTCCCCCTGAGGGGTGACAAGTTTCCACTTTGTCTCCCCCACTGTTCTCCAGAATTCTACGAGTTCAGAGAGGTAGCCAAGAGCTAGTGACATCATCAACTGGTGCTAAAAAGAAAGGCTTTGAGACAGACACATGCAAACATTTCCTCACCATCGTCATTGCCATCAGCATACCTGCAAGGCTTACTGAGGACTTAATATGCACCAAATAGTGCACCAAGCACTTTAGTACGTGACCTCTCATTTAGCCCAACAATCCTATGCTGTAGATGAGGACAGAGAGGTGGGAAAAGGTCCTTCATTCTTTTCTCATAACCGGCAAGCAAGTGCTATGACCAGATTTAACTACAGTGCTCTATTTCTATCCTTTTTAAAATTTATTCCATCAATGGTCATTGTCAAGATGGGAAAGAGTACTTACACTGCCAGGCAGAGCACAATGGCCATTTGTCAGCTAGAACAAATCTGTATTTTCTCTGACCACCAGACACTTCAAATTAGTGCAGTTTTGAAACGTGTCCCATTAGACACCTTATGACCCTACATCACATGAACAGCCCAACACCCTCCCCACTAATGTCTCGTCCATACTCTTCTCTGACTTCCTTATCAATCACTCTTCCCCTCCTTCACTCTGCTCCAGCCCTACTGTCCTCCTGCTATTTCATAAAACCATCAGATTTTCCACCTCAGGACCTTTGCACTTGCTCCCTCCCCCCACTTAGATCTCTGCGAAGACACCTTATTAGAGCCCTTCTCTGGATCACCCCCTATAAAAAGGGCAAACCCAGTATCCGACCCTTTCCATGGCCCTTCCTGCTCTATTTTTCTCCACCCTACGTATATTTTTCTCCACCTTACATAACTTTCTGATTTGCTGAATGAACGAGTTAATTGAAACAGAGGGACTTCTTTGCTAACTGGCAACCACCTCCTGCTCTCAAGTACAGCCTCCTATGACCCTTTTCAAAGCTGTCCTCAATACTCATTCTAACCAGCTTGAATCCTGAAGAGAAACATTGTTTCTGAGAAAGACCACATGGGGGGATTTTTTCCATGGGGGCATCAGACATTCCCTCTCTGATTTAAAAATCAAACGCTGTGCTTACTGGCACAGAGACTGGCAATCTTGGACACCTTGGGCCCCAACGCAGCCAAGTCAAGTTCCACCCACAGAGCTATAGCCAGCAGTCAGTTTCACTTTCAACTCACCTATCGGGCTCCCTTGGCCCTTAGGCTTACAATACTACACCATCCCTTTCCCACCCTGTTGGATTCCCACCACCCCAATCGTGTCATCCCTGAGTTTTCAAGCACTGCTTTGGGGGAACTCAAGCTCATCCAACAGGTAGGAGGGGCAGAGGCTGGTTCTTCCAGCCCTGCATCTATCCCCCATTTTGTAGGGGCCATGGACAGAGCGTCATTTTCTTTCTGGACGAAGGGTGCTCAGTTTTTTAAAGGCACGTTTCTCAGACCGCGCAGCAGGGGTAGACCAGGGAGTTCTCCCACACCTCCGGCCCAGATGCAAATGATTGCAGCGGCGATGGTGAGGCACCAGAGGCAGGAGAAATGGGTAGGACGCAGATCCATCCCTTGGCCCTGGGAACGAACGGGGTGTGCTTTCCTCGGCGAAGAGGCGCAGAGGATGCGGCCCTGAGAGAATCCCGAGCCAGAGCTCCTGCGGAGGCAGGGGATCTAGCCACACTAGGGCCGGGGTCTGGGGGAAGACCGGGGGTCGGCGGGGCGGAGCTTGGGAATCCCAGGGACCGGATCCCCGGGCGGGATGGGGGTCGCGCCGTGGCGCGGGGAGGGGGGACCCCGTGGCCGTTACCTTGCCCTTAGGGCTGCGGGCGGGGCGGAGGGCCGCCGGGCGCTGACTCCGGGGCCCGGCCCCACCCCCGATCCGGCTCCTACGGCTCGGAGCCTGCAGCCGCCGCCGCCTCCGCTGTCAACAAACCCCAGGCGCGTCACTTCCGGGACCGCCCCTTAGCAACAGCGAACGGGTTCCCCGGACCGGTTCCCACGGCGAACGCGGGCGGCGGCTGCCGAAGGTTCCGGGGCCCCGCGTCGCCTGCTCTCCCGACACCGGCCGGGTATGTGAGTAGTAGAGGAGGGGAGCGGTGGTTGGTCCCCGCTCCAGTCCGTCCTCCGGGCGCTCCTCACGGGCGCTCGCGGGGCTGGGGCGCTGATGGCGGGGGGTGGGGGGGGTGCAGGGACCGGCTCGGTGACACCGGCTTCCGGCGGCGCTCTGACCTGAGGTTCCCCGGAGGCCGGGAATAGTTAAGGGTGGACTGACTCCACCTTCCTCGTCAGCACCGACGAGGCGCCTCTAGAGCCTGCCCCTCCGTCCAGCGCCCTATTGGACGTCTCTCCCTGGCTTCTCCGCAGGTAGCTCACTCCCACGCGTCCAAAAGCACTCACCGTCTTCTTCCCGAACGCGGTGCTACTTCTCCAGTTAGTTAAGCCCTTCGGGCGCCTCGGAGATCACCCTGGGCAATGGGGAGTCGGCTTTGGCTCCTGCCGTTTTCCTCAGCTCTTTGTCCAAGTCGTCAAATCCTCTAAGGATCTCTCAAACCAGCCACTCTGCTTCTCCAGTAGGGACAGTCTCTGTCCACCATCGTTTCTCCTCTGGATTTCTGCAACAGCCTCCTGATGGAATCCCCTGCTCCTTCCCCCTCATGCTCTCCACAGTTCCGTAGTGAATGTTTCCAAAACCAATAAATCTGATCAGGGCACTTCCTTGCCTAATAATCCTTAACATAGACAAGGATGATCGGCACCCCCGTCTCTCTCTCCACTCTTTCCCCTTTCTTGCCATCCCCCCCAATCCTTTCTCCAATCCAGACAGCTTAAAGCACTTTTGCTTCTTTTAATGCTCTTCTCACCCGTGTGTGTGTGTGTTCTTTTAATAAGTCTTCTATCCCGTGTGTGTGTCTGTGTGTGTGTGTTAGTCGCTCAGTCGTGTCCGACTCTGCGTCCTCATGGACTGTAGCCCTCCAGGCTCCTCTGTTCACGGGATTCTCCAGTCAAGAATACTGGAGTGAAAAAAAAAAAAAAAAAAAGGATACTGGAGTGGATTGCCATTCTCTTCTCCAGGGGATTTTCCCAACCCAGGGATCCAACCCAGGTCTCTTGCATTGCAGGTGGATTCTTGACCGTCTGAGCCATTTATTCCCTACTAAACACTTTTCTTGCTCCCATCTATATCCAGCACACATCTCTTGTCCTTGTCTCAGCTTAGATGCTACTTTCTTGAGGAATCCTTTCTGACACGTTGCCCCCCACAATTCTGATAGCTAGTTTTGTGGATGTTTTCCTTCTGCGCAGCATCTTTTAGTCTTTGACCATTGTAAGTATGTTTGTACAATTTTAAGTCCTTTAAAAAGTGTTTTGATTTTGAATTATCAAATAAGGTATACTTAGGACTTCCCTGGCAGTCCAGGTGTTAAGACTCCAAGCTGACAATGCAGTGGGCATGGGTTCAATCCATGGTTGGGGAATTAAGCTCCCATGTACTGTTTGGCTAGGCCAAAAAAAAATTTTTTTTTTTTAAGTTAAGCAGAGTTACTATATGACCTAGCAATTCCAATCCTAAGCATATACCCAAGACGAAAATTTCATACCACAATTATTCATAATAGTCAAGAAGTATAAATAATCCAAATGTCCGTCAACTGTTGAGAGAGTAGGATATAGAATAATATAGTCATATGATGGAATATTATTTAAGATACCAGTCACAAAAGGTGATACATTTATGATTATATTCTCATGTCCAGAATATATAAATCTATTAGAGACAGAAAGTAGATTCAGTTCAGTTCAGTCACTCATTCGTGTCCTTCTTTGCAACCTCAGGGACTGCAGCACGCCAGGCCTCCCTGTCCATCACCAACTCCCGGAGTTTACTCAAACTCATGTCCATTGAGTCGATGATGCCATCCAGCCACCTCATCCTCTATCATCCCCTTCTCCTCCTGCCCTCAATCCCTCCCAGCATCAGGGTCTTTTCCAATGAGTCAGTTCTTCTCATGAGGTGGCCAAAGGATTGGAGTTTCAGCTTCAGTATCAGTCCTTCCAATGAACACCTAGGACTGATCTCCTTTAGGATGGACTGGTTGGATCTCCTTGCAGTCCAAAGGACTCTCAAGAGTCTTCTCCAACACCAAAGTTCAAAAGCATCAATTTTTCGGCACTCTGCTTTCTTCACAGTCCAACTCTCACATCCATACATGACCACTGGAAAAACCATAGCCTTGACTAGACGGACCTCTGTTGGCAAAGTAATGTCTCTGCTTTTTAATATGCTATCTAGGTTGATCATAACTTTCCTTCCAAGGAGTAAGCATCTTTTAATTTCATGGCTGTAGTCACCATCTGCAGTGATTTTGGAGCCCCCCCAAATGAAGTCTGACACTGTTTCCCCATCTATTTCCCATGAAGTGATGGGACTGGATGCCATGATCTTAGTTTTCTGAATGCTGAGCTTTAAGCCAACTTTTTCACTCTCCTCTTTCACTTTCATCAAGAGGCTTTTTAGTTCCTCTTCACTTTCTGCCATAACGGTGGTATCCTCTGCATATCTGAGGTTATTGATATTTCTCCTGGCAATCTTGTTTCCAGCTTGTGATTCTTCCAGCCCAGCATTTCTCATGATGTACTCTGCATATAAGTTAGCAGGGTGACAATATATAGCCTTAACGTACTCCTTTTCTTATTTGGAACCAGTCTGTTGTTCCATGTCCAGTTCTAACTGTTGCTTCCTGACCTGAGTACAGGTCTCTCAAGAGGCGGATCAGGTGGTCTGGTATTCCCATCTCTTTCAGAATTTTCCACAGTTTATTGTGATCCACACAGTCAAAGGCTTTGTCATAGTCAATAAGGCAGAAATAGATGTTTTTCTGGAACTCTCTTGCTTTTTCGATGATCCAGAGGATGTTGGCAATTTGATCTCTGTTTCCTCTGCCTTTTCTAAAACCAGCTTGAACATCTGGAAGTTCACGGTTCACGTATTGCTGAAGCCTGTTATTTACCTGGGGCCAAACTGTGGTAGAAGTAATGAAGTCCCATGCACGCACTGCTACACTCAGTGCCCTCAACCCTGCAGCAGGCCACCGCCGACCCATGCCTCTGCCAGAGACTCCTTTACGCTCATGGGCAAATCTGGGTCGGTCTCTTGTGGGGTCACTGCTCCTTTCTCTTGGGTCCTGGTGTGCACAGGTTCTGTTTGTGCCCTCCAAGACTCTGTTTCCCCACTCCTGTGTAAGTTCTGGCACCTCTATGGTGGGGTTAGTGGCGACCTCCTCCAAGAGGGCTTATGCTGTAACCTAGTCTGAGACACCCAGAGCCCCTCCACTGCTGACCATGCCACCTCACCTGCCTCTTGAGAAATCTGTGTGCAGGTCAGGAAGCAACAGTTAGAACTGGACATGGAACATCAGACTGTTTCCAAATAGGGTAAGGAGTATGTCAAGGCTGTATGTTGTCAGCCTACTTATTTAACTTATATGCAGAGTACATCATGAGAAACGTGGGGCTGGATGAAGCACAAGTTGGAATCAAGATTGCTGGGAGAAATATCAATAACCTCAGATATGCAAATAATACCACCCTTACGGCAGAAAGCGAAGAAGAACTAAAGAGCCTCTTGATGAAAGTGAAAGAGGAGAGTGAAAAAGTTGACTTAAAGCTCAACATTCAGAAAACTAAGATCATGGCATCCGGTCCCATCACTTCATGGCAAACAGATGGAGAAACCGTGGAAATAGTGACAGACTTTATTTTTTGGGGCTCCAAATTCACTGCAGATGGTGACTGCAGCCATGAAATTAAAAGACACTTGTTCCTTGGAAGAAAAGTTATGACTAACCTAGATAGCATATTAGAAAGCAGAGACATTACTTTGCCAACAGAGGTCCGTCTAGTCAAAGCTATGGTTTTTCCAGTGGTTATGTACGGATGTGAGAGTTGGACTAGAAAGAAAGCTGAGCACCGAAGAATTGACGCTTTTGAACTTTGGTGTTGGAGAAGACTCTTGAGAGTCCTTTGGACTGCAAGGAGATCCAACCAGTCCATCTTAAAGGAAATCAGTCCTGAATATTCATTGGAAGGACTGATGTTGAAGCTGAAACTCCAATCCTTTGGCCACCTCATGCGAAGAACTGACTCATTGGAAAAGACCCTGATGCTGGGAGGGATTGAGGGCAGGAGGAGAAGGGGATGATAGAGGATGAGGTGGCTGGATGGCATCATCGACTCGATGGACATGAGTTTGAGGAAACTCCGGGAGTTGGTGATGGACAGGGAGGACTGGCATGCTGCGATTCATGGGGTCACAGAGTCCGACAGGACTGAGGGACTGAACTGAACTGAACTGAAATAACAGGGAGGGAGCACAGCCCTACCCATCAACAGAAAATTGGATTAAAGATTTACTGAGCATGGCCCCACCTACCAAAACAAGACCCAGTTTCTCCCTCAGTCAGTCTCTCCCATCAGGAAGTTTCTATAAGCCTCTTAAGATTGCTGGGAGAAATATCAATAACCTCAGGTATGCAGATGACACCACCCTTATGGCAGAAAGTGAAGAAGAACTAAAGAGCCTCTTGATGAAAGTGAAAGAGGAGAGTGAAAAAGTTGGCTTAAAGCTCAACATTCAGAAAACAGAGATCATGGCATCTGGTTCCATCACTTCATGGCAAATAGATGGAGAAACAGTGGAAACAGTGGCAGACTTTATTTTCTTTGGGCTCCAAAATCACTGCAGATGGTGACTGCAGCCATGAAATTAAAAGACGCTTGCTCCTTGGAAGAAAAGTTGTGACCAACTTAGATAGCATATTAAAAAGCAGAGACATTACTTTGCCAACAAAGGTCCATCTAGTCAAGGCTATGGTTTTTCCAATAGTCATGTATGGATGTGACAGTTAGACTATAAAGAAATCGGAGTGCTGAAGAATTGATGCCTTTGAGCTGTGGTTTGGAGAAGACTCTTGAGAGCCCCTTGGACTGCAAGGAGATCCAACGAGTCCATCCTAAAGGAAATCAGTCCTGAATATTCATTGGAAGGACTGATGTTGAAGCTGAAACTCCAGTACTTTGGCTACCTGATGGGAAGAGCTGACTCGTTTGAAAATACTCTGATGCTGGGAAAGACTGAAGGCAAGAGGAGAAGAGGACTACAGAGGATGAGATGATTGGATGGCATCACCGACTCAAAGAGATGAGTTTGGGTAAACTCTGGGAGTTGGTGATGGACAGGGAGGTCTGGTGTGCTGCAG